ACCAGTCAGGTTCACTTCCATGTAATCCACATAAACCAAAAAATTTTTTTTGACAAAATTTTTAGACTTAGAACTCATTATGCACTTCAAATCGAGGTAATTTTTAATGTTATATTAACTATCCTTATGTTTGCTGAGCTAACACCTTCTCTTAAAAGAGAAAAAGTTTTACCTTTCATGTGAAATAGCCATATGCAAAATGAGTGAGTAAACAACAATGCTTCTATACCACAACACACCACACTATCAGTGGAAACATTCAGTACCTTAATATCCTGATGACTTATAATACTGGATTAATTTTTTAAATTCTTCCGAGATACAACTAGAGTGGAAGAAAAGGACGCATGACGAATATTGGAAAAATGAAAGTGGGAAGAATTAAACTTCTGCGCATATATGCTTATTCATGTATGTTCGTATTATGTGTGTGTGTGTGTGTGTTAGCAGCACTAGTGAACTGCATGGTAGTCTCACATTATCTTCTTTTACTCTACTGTTCAAAATAACAGCTGAAGGGAATGCAGCAAAATCGAAGAAGACGGGAGAGTAGGAGAGTTGAGGAATTCAAACACGAGAAATCTCGGATAGCACGAAATTTTCGTTTCAAAACTTCTTGTATGTAGATTATGTACAGAGAGATATATACATAAATGCATACACACCGCTAATAAACAAGAAGCAGATCCACGTAAAGAAAAATATTTGCACACGTACTTTCTGACCTGATGAAACGATCCTCACTCATCATTACTTCTCCATCTTTCTAGAAATGTTTTCATCTTCAAATTGTTATTTCTCCTTAATCTTTTATATCCCTCAGTTTTTAATACTTAGCTTTTGGTGTTCCCTACAAGACAATGCATTCTCCCTGAGAATGGCTTTCCTATGTCTCTAACTGTAAAGTACTTTTCCGCTTGTGAAATGAAGCGGAACCCTTAGTTTGTAACAATGGATCTGGAAAGAAATTCTTGTACTTTTTAACTTCTCAGCATCCTATCTTATCCATCGTGGATCTTCCCATTCAGAATTCTATAAGTATTCATTTCTTTTCTTCTTTACGCCTATTTCATTCGACTGTCAATTTGTTGAAATTTTCATAAGCCACACAATATATAGCCATTTTGTTTTATGATTCCTAATGCCCTATCTCTTAAAAAGATTTTGGAAAAAAAAAAAAAAAAACGATTTGCAGTCATAAATAACAATCAGTAGCCTAAATTGTGTTCTCTCCTTCTTCCACTTTTCATGTATGACTCATCTAATTAGTCTATTCAGTTTCTGTCCTAGTTTTTCAGATAAATCTTAAGTTAGTTTATGTTGAAAGAAAATCAAAGATTTTGTTCTCAAAATTTTCGATATTTCACAGAATGAAGTAAGCAGGATTTCATATTTTAAATGTAAGCATCTCCCTCTTTTCTATCTTTCTAGAAAGACAATAATAAATGTTCCTGTCGCTGTATTTTACATTATGTTCATCTTTATTGCTACTTTGCATACATAAAGTGTTACCTTTTTTATTCGATTTTGATTTGCCTTATCTCAGATATTTCTATAGATCTGTTCATTTTTCTGTTTCATACGATGACTTCAGATTGATGTTCATCACTTAGGAAATTGAACATATCTCTTCATGCGTTTTCCTTATATCAAAGTGTAAAAATCAATAATTCTGAAATTAACGGATTACTCACTACAAGAAATTATTTAATAGAGATTTGTTTATCTAGATAAAGAAGAAAATGGATTTGTGTATTTATTCACTGTGGTTTTAAAAAGGCGTCGATAATTTTTTATTGCAAAATGAATTGATTCTTGAATTCAGGCAGTTAGTTGAATTTCTTAGTTCCTACTTGCTACCAAGTCAAGAATAAATTTTAAAATTTTTAGTAAATAAAATATTTTGTTAAAAAACCGAAAATCAAAATATATATATATTCCACATATCACTGTTAGTATCATCATTCGTATGTGAATATTTTAAAAAAGAAAAAGAAAGCTGTGGTGTTATTTGTGCTACTACTAAATTCAGAAAAAAAATTCTCGGTTGAAATATATTTTAATAGAATGGTAAAATTATAGGATTAAATTTGTAGAATTAAAGTGTGTTTTAAAAAATTAAAATAAATTTTGAAAAGAGGGAAAGAAACAAACAATTAAAATAAAACTTGTAGAATTGAAATATATAACATGGATTGTGCCAGGTTCCTAATAAGTGCAAAAATACTTTAATTTTCCTAGATGTTTTAGAAGGAATTCTGCAAAATTTTAATTTCACATTTGAAAAATGAATTAATTAGGTCATTTCAAATTCGATTTCTCAAGGAAATTTTTAACAAATCAGACTTAATTACCATTACTCCGAGAACTATTCAACATCCAAAAATTCTTACACTTGACAGTTAATTTTTTCTCTTTTTAAATATTTGCATGAAGAAGTGAAGATTTAGTATGTCCAGGGATTCGATAAGATCCAATATAAGGTTCATAATATGATGTTTGCAACAATATTAGGAATGCATTTTAGTGCAGGCCGAAAATTTTCAATTAGAAAGTCATTGAATTCATTTCATTGCATTAAATTGTTTTAAAAAATAAATTTGTGATAGTACCTTAAAATAATTAGCCAAAATATCCATTATATTATCTATTCATTTCTAAAAATGTTAATAAATTTTAATATTTATTCTTTCATACTTGCTTTAACATGTGCTGCATTAAAAATTAAGGATACTGGCTAGATTCAAATAACTGGACCAGACATAATTTAAGCTTAAATCAGAAATTCTTAGATTAAGATGATTAGCATAACATCGCTATCTGCTATATACTATACCTTTTATAATCACTGTATTAAATATTTGCAACTCAGTTTTTGTAACCGGCAAGTGTCTATTCACTATTTAAATTGTTTATAGTAGTTCAGATTCTAAATTGTTTATAGGAGATTTGACTATCGCCCTTCCTCATTATCTCAGTTTGACGGAATCGAAATTTCATTTCTTTTAAAGCAAAAGACTGCTTTTTTGCGAAACTAACCGTTCCATCATAAGAAGTATCAGTTTTAAGAATTAGCAGATGTTTAAAAATGTATTTGTAATAAACTTTGTGTTGTGGAAGCATAACGCATAGTAGAATCATTGGGCTTTATTATTATTATTATTTTTCTCTCTCATTTTCTCCCATTTTTTGAACACTTAACAAAAACGCTTGTATTGCTTTTGTTTTTTTTTTCTTTATAGCAAAATTAATTAATTATTAATCACTCCATAGTATGTTCTTTTCTTTGGTGATTATTCGTATTTGTATGAGCCAATCAAATAAAGAATTTTTTGTGATGTTCAAAGTAAATTGCTCTCTTCGATAATATTCTTAAAGGAAGTGAGGGAAATTTCAGATATACAGAAAATTTGTACCATATTACTAAATAAGCATTAATTTATGAAATATCTGCCGTACTTTCAAAAATGTCTTCAAGACATCACAAATGTATCACTTTTGTAGATTTTAAAAGTTTTACAAGTAAGAAAGCATCTTCTTTGAAAAACTTCTTCTTTCAAAGTTATAGTTATATTCTGCGGTAGAAAATAAGCTAAGAGTAAGTTGAGCGTTTTAAAAAATGATACTACGTAATTTATTGTTTTTGCTGCGGCCTTAAATTGCTAACTTCTCAGCGATCATGCCGAAATTTTTAACAGAAATTTTCATTGTATATAATCCTCAGAAATCTGAAATATGTAAAATGGTTCAAAAAAAAAAAAAAAAAGAGAAAAAAGAAATTATATTTGCTGCTAAAAAATTATTGAAAATAAGTTATCATCAAAGTGGCTAGAAAAATTTGGTCTGGAAATGTGAGAGAGTACTTGCACTAATTTATTATTGCACGTCTATAGCTTTTAAAAGGATAAACCCAAGTAAATATGAAATTCAGGAAGAAAATGAAATGCATAAATGCAGAACAGAAGCGCAAATTACCGAAGTCTATTGTACACCCAGTGATTTGTTTCATTTCTTAATGGATGAGGAAATCGATGATACAATTTCATGTTACGCTGAAGTAGTACTTCTTGGGAGGAAATTAATAATTAGAGCTGATTAATTTTCTAGCTGCACATCTTAAGTAAAATCAGTAGTCCTAAATATTTTCCATCATTAATTTCAAATTTGAGAGTAACATTTTTAGAAATGTGAAGTGGTAACACTGAGGAAGCAAATGATGTTTTGCACAATTAATGATATCTATGTATTTGTGTACTTCAGTATTTTAAGGAGTACTAAACCGACTAATGTTGTTATTACTTTCACATTACTAAGTGATAGAGAAGGTAAAGTGAATAACAACAGCAGCAGAAGCAGTAATACAAGCGTTCGAGAAACGCTTTCAATTTCATTTCAAATTTTTTATTTCAAAAAAAGAGTTAAGGAAGAAAAACAGGGAGGCAATAAGTAAGAAAGTAAAGATGCAGAGGACTAGGAAGAAGGAGAATCCGGGAAAAAGGAGATCTGTTGGGACTAAATAAACTTATTTTTAGAGTGGGGGTTTGTTGAATTGCGGAAGTTGCCACATTGCTTGACAACAAGAGTCAAGCAGTATTGGAAGAGATAAGTGGAGATTTCTTAAAATTTTGAATCTTTGAAGTTCTAGAACTCTTGAGCTCTGAAGCTAAAGCTTTTGCAATCTCTGTTCATTGCATCAGTCTGCCTTCCTCACATCCAGACATTGCTGTTTTAGTGATAACGCGCAACCACCTTTTCGTTTACTTTAGGATGTTACTCCGTCCAGTTAGAAGCTATAAAACAATAACTCTCTCAAGGCATTTGCATTTTTCAGGACCATACTGCAACCAAAAACCACAAAACCATTACACACAATCCGGAAATTTGGCATCCCGACTAAAACAGGAAAAGCTTGCATGTTGGTTTTTCAAGCGCTATTCATAAGTTCTTGAATCCATAGACCAGATCAGAAGCGTGTAAGCAAGGAAAGAGGAATAGAAAAGATGCCTGGAGCGCCACGTTTTACGCAGAAACCTTCTATCCAACAAACTCCGCAAGGAGATCTGCTAATGGAGTGCTACCTAGAAGCCGACCCACCACCTGATATTGTATGGAACCACGCTGGCACGCCAATTATTGCTGGACCACGTGTAGAGCTAACACTTAGTAATTTGCAAACCAATCTTTACAAAGCGATTCTAATTATTAAGGTAATTTGTCGGTAAATTGTGTTATAATTTTATAAAATCATTTACACTTCAGCTTTATTTCAAAATTTAGTTTGCTAGAAATATATTTTTCTTGGATTATGGGCACAACAAGAATGTTTATTAATTTGGAACACTAGAGATTCTATTCCACTTTAGTCAGCCTTAAAACCAACAAGTGATATTATAAAGCCCTTATTTGCAAAAATCAAAATATTCAAAATACAGCCTATATTTCGCTTGTATCATCACATCTTCCACATTTCATTTCCTGTTCTATAATCTAGTCTTGCCAAAAAAAGTTAGTAGTTATAAGTACTGATCACACCTTTGCTCAATTCATCATCATATGATGTCGCAACTTTGTTTATGCATGTCGCTTCCTCTTGACCAATAGAATGCAGCTGATTTGTTAATTTTCGAATCAGAAGTTATCAGTCTATCAAAACTACAGAATTAATGAAGTGAATGATATAAAACGTCACTCAGTAGTCCTACTTCTCAGTCAACGAACTATACAATTGTGTAGGGAAATCTTTGATTTTTAAGGGCGCATTCTAAACATTATATGTTTCAGTTCTTGAAAAGAAAAAAAAATAGCATTTGTTAAGTGAGCTGTTGGAAGACATGTATTTTTTTTTAGGAGAGAAAAGAGGAGCTTTTCAGCAAACTTTTTCGCTTTATATCAAATAACTTTTCGACTACCATTTCGAAATATCTTCCATTTATATTTACGTATGATCGATCTTTAATAGTTTGCTGTCGTGTTCTATTCCAATAATAAAAAACTTTATTCGATTGAGATTTATTAGTGATAGTTTTTTTTTTTTTTAAGATCTGAATAGATAAGATCTGTTCGAGACGCATGCATAATTTCAAATAATTTAATTCAATGTAGATGGAAGCTAAAAATATTGGATGGTCAAAATGATCGCTTTTAAACTCAAAAATTTTTTGAAAGCCTTTATTGCTAATAAGAAAAATTGTAATAGACTTTTAGGACAATAACAAATTAAAAGCTGAAACAAATAAATCATGAAACTATTAAGCTTTAATCATCAAAGCATTACCATAAACATTCTTGACAAGTGTATTGCAATTCATAGCATTAACAGGTAATTCAATTTGCACCACAGTACTACATATCCTCTTTATGGGAATTGTTTCAACATTATTTTCAACATTATTTAGATATCATGATATATATTTATTTTCTGTAGATATGTGCAAAAGTATTAAGTTCAGTCCTGTATTTTATGTTACAGTGGAACACTTTGTGAATATCATTAATCATTTATATGACAGACACCATTGAATATTAAAAACCGGTATTTGTTAAGTACTGAAGAGAAATGCAATTTACATTTTACTTCAATAAATCCTACATAGTTGAATTCGTTTTTCGGTTTATTGGTTTATCATATATTATCAGTTTGGAAGTACTACGCGACTGCCTCCAGCATCTTAAAATATATTTAGGAACAGCTTATATTACTGATGTAGATGTTGCTTTTTTTAAATTTTTGGGGTGAAAATAAGTAGAATGCTTGAGATAAATCACCTTGCGCAATGGTTTAAACATAAATGATAACCTTTTCTTCTAGTAGCAGTAATGTTATCATTCTAATCTTTACATCATTATTGTCTTTTCCTGATTATCACAGCTACCTTTATCAATCACCAACATTAGTTTTGCTCTTATTCAACATTATATAAAATTGCGTTTAAGTACAAAACTTTTGGTACTACGATTTTGGCTTCTGTTCAGGATGAGTAAATCATAGCAATAATTTTCAGTCTTATTCCGAAACTCTTAAACCACAAGATCAACAGCTGCAGTCATAGCTAATCAAAGGTGAAACGCAGCTGTTAAACCGAACGATTATTTCAAATAATAAATGACTTTTTTTCCATTAACTGTAAAACAAAATTTTCAGCTTACGCTACTGTGACTGTCCTGGAAATACTGTATTTATGTTTCCTACACTATACGAGTCTTTGTTGTCCGCTCATTCCCTTTTTCGTTTGTTGTCATTTGCACTAATCCGTATCACAGTTTCTAATTATGAAATTGAATATTACTAGAAAGTAGAAAGGGTTTCATTTATTTGGGACATCATGTAATCAAATCTTTTAAAACCGAACAGAAAAAGCTTTTCATAACGATTTTATGCATAATTGTGTTAATTTTCAGAAATTTTTGTTCAAAAATTGCATTTTTAAAAATTTTTCACCAACTATTCTTTTGTTGAGGAAGTTAATTAGAATCCAACAAATGTTATCTAAACCATCGGATGAGCATAGAATATTTTTTATGTCTTCTTTTCATTTTTAATTTTCTGTCAAGATAAATGTAATTCATTGATGAATCATTAATTTGAAATATGTTTAAGGAGCCAAATGTTGGTGATGGCGGGGCATACAAATGCACAGCAAGTAATCAGTTTGGTGAATCAAATGCAAATATCAATCTTAACTTCGCAGGTCACATCTTTTATATAAGTTCTTATGTTTATCCTTAAAACTACCTAAACACTTAAATTTTAATGACAACAGAATAAAGATGTGCTGAGAATTTTCAAAAGAAACACATGATAGCAGCAGTAAAAATATTGGTTTAATATAGCACTCACTAATTAGCGTTAGATGGTTTTTCTAAATGATCTTATCAAAGATATTAACAATAATATTAAAGTAAAGTAAAATTATGGACTCTAATAAACTAGGAAAGTGATAGATGGTTTTGAGCGTTAGATGATTTTGCTAAATTCAGCATAAATATTTGTAATCTTTGATAGAATCTACATTCTGAAGTTTGTGTTTCTGTGATTTTTTCGAGCAACTTATTGAAATAATCTTCATCAAATTTGTTACCACCCTTCAGTCGTTTTTTATTTAATACAAATCCTTTGATGATGAACTCTTTTAGAATTTTTGTGGCCCATACCCTCATCATTATCATAGCAGCAAAATTTTTAAATTCGTTTTATTTCCTTTTTAGAAGTATGATTAGGTGAAAAAGTCAAATAAATGATTAATGATTAAAAAATTTCATGACTAGCAAGTTAAATTTATGATCAAATGCTCAATCTTAATTGTTTTGTTTGAAAAATCCGCAAATATTTATTCTGCTTCGGAAAGTTGCAGTATATAGAACATTTTTTGGAATTTAAAATCTTTGAATACATTGAAAATTTGGTTAAACATATCCAGATATCAATGATTAATCTTGTCTTATACGTTTTATCTGAATTTTATTTCGAAAACTAGAGTTATATTATTTTGTTCTCTTGTATATAATGACTTCTGGTTACTATTTCAAAAGTTTTTTGAAGCTTGAAATCTTTCAGGATGGTTAGATTGTAAGTATATTAAATTAACCTTTTGTGTATTAAATTAACTAATATGAAAATAAAAGCTTATCTGAATTGATATAAAACTTCACCTATTTGTAAAAATCTTTGCTAATTCAGGTGCTGGTGACGAACAAAAAGGGGCAGCCAAGGGGCCAACATTTCTCAGCAAACCACGAATTATCCCAAAAGATGGCGGAGCATTAATTGTGATGGAATGTCGGGTGAAAAGTACCTCGAAACCATATGGGATCTGGTATAAAAATGGCGTGCCAATTCATGAAAATACTCTTTACTCTATATCTTTCTCAGATCTCGGAGAATCCTCATATCTTTTACAACTGGAATTACATGTAAGTTGTTAGTTTTCCAGACATGAATCTTCATATGGTAAAAACAATTGTTTGTAAAATTTTAATGTGTTTAAAAAATTTAAGATTTAAGAGAAGTTTTTTGAGTTTCATTGGCACTATATGGCGCAGACTGAGTAACATTTTTTATTGCTTCAGAATCCTGCGGCGGAAGATGCTGGGCAATATAAGTGTAATATCAAAAATGATCTAGGTGAAACAAATGCGAATTTAACATTAAATTTCGAACAAGAACCAATGGAGCAACATGAGAAGATTGACAAGAATCGTGAAAAAGATTCTGCTTCTCCTCGACCTGCTTCTCGACAAGGTTCAAGACTAGGTAAAATCAGTCTTATGCTTTTTAATTTTTTTTTTTCGATTTCTATAACGAAGAAAATGCTTCATTAATTCACCATTTCCTAAGTTTAGATGGATTTTAAAAGTGGTCCAAAATTTAGGATCACCAAAGAAACAAATGAAATCTCGAGAAGGGACACCAAAGAAATCTTTAAAATCCCGTGAAGGTACACCAAGAAAATCAATACAGTCAGAGACAGCGACACCGACACAGGAAGCGGAAACGAACGTTTCATCAATAACCGAAATGTCGGAAGTTAAAACAGAGCAAATGGAAGTTGACAATGGTATGTGGTATAAATTTTTTCTTTATTTCTTTACTACTTGCCACTAAGTTGGATTGCTAAAGGAAAATTAACAGTGGAATCGGTTCTTCGTTGGAATTCTGAAGAAAAATTTAACTTCAACTATTCTAGATAAAAAATTTTTTAATTCCTGGTGGAAGTTTTTCGGATTGTTATATAAACTAATATCTGGATTTCAGAACAATAAAAAAAAAACAATAATTGGAGTGAATTAAATTATAAATTTGGCAACTTTTTTCATGAAATGATAAGCTTTGGATTCTCAAAATACGTTAATTTTACTTTTTAGTTAGTGCAAAACGAAAGAGTATGACGACTCTTCCACAGAAAGAAAAAAAATCACGACAGAAGTCACCGCGGCCTAAATCTAAATCACCGAAACCAGAAACTTTTCAAGTAGATAATGAGAATACAGATAAAGACAGGATGATGAGTTGCACTTCCAGCAACAAAGCAGATCATACTTCAGCAGCAAAAGCAAGCGAAGTGCGAAAAATACCGAAAGATAGTTCTATCAAAGTCGATGAAATTGGAGCACAAGAATGCAGAAATGAAACGCCGAAATCTACAACAATTACGAAAACAGAAGAAACGAAAATAAATCAAATAACAAAACACTCACTAAGAGCTAAAGAAAAAAATATAGAACTTGAATCCAACCTCATTTCGGAATCAGAACTAGAAAAATCTACTGCATCAATTGCACATGATGAAAAGAAGCATCCTACAAAATCAAGGGAAGCAATAAAGAAAAAAAGGAAAGAGGAACAGAAATCCAAATCATCAAAACTCCGTGACTTGAAATCAGAACTTGAAGGAAAAGAAGTAAATTTTCAATTCTTTAATTGAACTGTCAGAAATTTTTGTTTAGAAAAGTGCAAAGAAATGATTCCAAAAGAAAAAAAAAATTTTTGAATGTATTTTCAGTCGCAGCGTTATTTTTGACTCAACAAATTAAATAAAAGTATATTGAGAACTTTATATGAGCCACTAAAATTTATTTTTGTGTTAATTTGGAATACATGCTAACAGCATGGTTCATTCTGCCATGCAGATTCGATTTTTTCAAAACAATCTTCATCATATATTATAAGTTAGCCATTTTGAAGTCAAGCTGCAATAAGTTTAATTGTAATCAGCATTATTCCATTGATGCTGTCTAAAAGTTTGTAAGTTTCGTTTATTTTTGAAAAAAGTTTTGTAGTTTGTAACATAATGGATTCTAGCTACACTAAGATGTAATGTTTTGAATTTAAAAGCATATTAATTTGAAGTCATCATCACAGTTCATATTATGCAGAAAAAAGCTGTTTAGACTGACGAAATTTCGGGATCTGGATTGATGATTGGACCGGAACGAAAGAAAGAGCTCATGGCAATGCATTTAGATGGTGGTGCTTCCGGAGATGAAATATCGGAATCAATTTCAGAGTTGCCTTCGGTCTCTGATATCACTTATAAGAGACCTTCAGCAATAGTAAGGAAAAAGTTTTCTCTATATTTTTTGGGTGACTTAAAGAGTAGTTACAGATCACTGCAAATTATTTTATATCTATGAGAAATGTTGCAGCTGACCTTTTTAAATTTTTCGGATGCGCTACTTTTTTCCGGAAGTTATTGCATATTGATAACATGTCCTGCGGTGATGTAACACAAAACAGTACCTATTGTTTCTAGTTTTATACTTAGTGTCTAAAACTTTTTCAGTCAGAAGGTGGCATAAGAAAGTCAATAAGCGGCAAAATGAGTCGAGTATGTTTTTCTAAAATTTTCCATGTTAAGCGGATGTTATACTTATTGTTATGTGGAAGTAGAATTCATTGCGCACTTACCGCTGGAAAGAAGTATTCATAAGGAAAAGCTAAATCTTACAACTTCTTATTCGGGTAATATAAGGTAGCGGAAAAAAATCGCCAGTAATGATAACTTAATTTGCCTAAAAATACATCTGAAGCACTTTCTTACTACTCAAAGTCTAAAAAACAAGTAAATTTAGAAAGATTTCTCTGGTAACGGCTGAAATTTTCAATATGTCAGTCATATGCAAAAAAAATTGCAAGAAGTTTGCTAGAATTCTGAATATATGCGGTGCTTTTGCTTAAGTTGAAAAAAATTTCTGGTTTTGAAGATACAGTTGTTTGTTGAGGTAGAATTTTCTGCAGAAAACATCTGAAATTATCTTTTACCTAAAATTATCTGCAATTTTTTCAGAGACGTAGCAGTGTCGACATGCGTCGTGAAAATTTGGCTGCTGAAATGCTGGATAAACCCTCAACTCCACTGAAAAATATCGGTCCAGAAGGCGCACCAAGGATTCTCGAAATTCCAGAAAATGTTACTGTAACAAAAAGTATAACTTTCTCACTGCAAGATATTAAAGCTTCTGTGGCGTCTTTTGAGACATAGTTTAATATTTGGTATTTCTGAATGTTTTAAAGTCTTAACAAAGCACAAAATTTATTTTACTGGTTAAGAGTGACAATAAGCGTGTCGTTTCTATTGCAGATGATACAGCTGTTTTGAAATGTAAGGTGGAAGGCAATCCGGCACCAACATTCAAATGGAGTAAAGGACTTGTTGAGGTTAAAACTTCATGTATCTCTCGTAATTAGAAGGGATCAGAATTATAAAGCTAATAGCTATTAAATTTAGATTCCTTCTGGTGGACGATGCAGAATAGTTACGGATCAACAGGACAATTCAGTGAATCTCGTTATGCAGAAATGTCGATCGAACGATGACGGGCCATATACATTAACTATTGAAAATAAATATGGCAAAGATTCTGCATCCGTTAAACTGTTGGTAATTTCCGAAGCTGGGCTTGACTTCAGATCAATGCTGAAACACAGGTTTAACTACTTAGAATAACATTGTAAAATAATGAAAATGTTGGTATATTAAAACTGGTGATGACTTGTATTGTACAAAATCCACTAAAAACCACTAATTTTCGGCTGGCAGTTTAATGAGATTTACAATTTCAAGGGAGCATGAAGAAGGTGGAGATGAAGATGATGAAAAAAGCACTTCTTCACGGACAAGATCGATGACAGACGTCGAACGACGTCAATCGTTATTTCCTGGTAAAAAAGTTGAGAAATGGGAGGAACCACTGGAGAATAAAACTGTTCAGCAGCAAGTGGATAAAATTTGCGAATTGAAATGTACCTATTCGAGATCGAATGCTAAAATCAGGTGGTACAAAAACAAGAAGGAAATTTTCAGTGTAAGTATTTAAAATATTAGCTGTATTAAACTGTATATCGAAACATTCTCAAATAATAGCATTAAATTTTCGCTTGATTTCGCATTGTTTTAGGGTGGCTTAAAATATAAAATTGTAACCGAAAAAGCAGTCTGTACATTGATTATCAACAATCCTGAAGTTGATGATAGCGGGAAATACACCTGCGAAGCAAATGGTTTGCCAACAACTGCTGTTCTGACTGTTGATGGTATATGATTTTTAGATATTAATAAAAAATAATTTGAATACCAAACTTTTCCCGGTTCAGTTTCCTAGCTAAGACAGCAAATGTGAAAGTAAATTGGGTTTATCATGAATGCTTGTCTATCTGTTTGTTACAGAACCTCCAATGAAATACAGCTTCATCACACCTTTGCCGAACACACAAGAAATATACAGGACAAAACAAGGCGTGCTCACCTGTAAAGTAAATAACAAACGAGCTCCATTAGTTTGGCATCATAATGGAAAACCAATTTCGTTAGTTTTTTTCCGAATCCGTATAAGTTGTTCAGGAAGGTTAAGTTTTCAAAGGTTTTAATTTTTTGGGAAAAAAAAAGAAAAAAACGAGGAACTAAACCATCTCAGGGATTCTGATAAACGGTTCTTAATCGAGAACGACGCAATTGGTCGTTTCACATTGACAATCAAAGATGTCACCAATGGAGATGCTGGCGAATGGATGGCCAAAATTACTAACGAAATCTACAGCAAAGTAGAAGTTTATGTTGAAGGTTAATATGCAAATTTTCTCGATTACTGGGTTTTTTTTAACATGAAGTCTGTCCAAATCATAATAACTGGAAAGTAATAATTCGTGAAAAAATAATTAGGCAAGCATTAGCTTTGAAATGTCTACTAAGACATTTTTAATTGATAGTGATATTCCAAACACCTTTCATTTCTTCACAACAACTTAAAATGCAGCGGCGCCTAAATGTACTTTTTTACTGTAATGATTGTTACTAGGTAGCAATCATTACAGCTGGAGCTGGAGGATCATGAAGAGTACAAGTGCGCCTATGTAGCAAAATGCACCTCTCATCTTTTAACAAAAGAAGAAAAAAGAAAAGCAGAACCAAATTTGTGCATTATAACTGTAACTTCAGTTCATTTCAGAGCCACGACATACCTTCGTTATTCCCTTAAAGTCGCAGAAAGTGACAGAAAATGAAAGTGTGCAACTGGTCTGTGATTTAAATGACAAAGATGCAGATGTTGAATGGTGGCATGATGGGGTTCAAATTAAAATAGATGGACAAAAATTCGTTGCTGAAGCAGAGAACCGAAAACGTCGACTAATCATAAACAGTGCTAAAATGGAAGATCACGGAGAGTACAAGTGTACAACGAAAGATGACCAAACACTAGCACAACTCATTGTTGACGGTTCTGAACTCATCATAAATTCGTTTTTCTAAATTTTCCGAATCAATAATTTCTTTTTTCAGAATCGTTTGGTTGATTAGTGAACTGCCATTTGGACTACCATGTGAACTTTTTTTGTTTCTTATCCTGAAAACTTCGATTTTCTCCAGAATTTATCATACTTTACTTACTTTTGCATATGTAATTTATTACAGCTCTCAATAAGTTTGTTGTTCCGTTATCCGATATAGAAGTTTTCGAAAAGGAAGATGTCGATTTACGCTGTGAAACAAAAGTAATTGCTTTCCAGATCCTGCTACAAGTTTCAAGCACACAATTTAAAATTTTGAAACAAAATTTTAAGTTATAACTTATTCCCTGGTAATTTTCAGGACAATAAGACTCCTGGAGTATGGTCGAAAAATGGAAAAATTATAACATCGATGCCCGGTGGAAAATTTGAAACCATATCTAGGCAAGGTGTACACACTCTTAAGATTTCGAAAATTGAAATTTCTGAAGGTGACATTTACGAAATCAATGTTGGAGGCCTGGAAGGTTCCTGTGTCATTACCGTTCTAGAAGCTGAAAAGAAACCGGTTATGAATTGGAAGCCTAAAAAAGTACGTTTTCGTTTAATTTGAGCTTATGTATGACGAAGCGATAAATTATTTCTTGTCCAGAAATAATTATGAATTTTTTAAGGTCGAAATGGAATGTGACAAACCCGAAACCATCAAAATTCCCTTCTCTGTCAAGGGTGGTCGAAAAGGCAATCCAAAACCAAAACTGTGTCGGAACGGAGAACCTGTAGATTTGGAGAAAATGAAAGATCTTATAGAAGTTGTAATAAATGACGACGTTGTTGAAATTAAATTCAAAGTTCGTTTGAATTAGATTTTCAAATTTTATTAATTATGATTGTATACTAGTAGATATAGAAACTTTGTTACATAGTTGATTGCTCCCAATTTAATTATTTAAATCACCTTTACACTTTTGATCTCTCAATGGATCGTTTTGTTTCCGACATTCTTTTTTGTCTAAATTTGATTTTCAAAAAAGGAATTTGATTTTCTTTGCACTTTTTCAAGCTGATATATTTCAACTTTTCAGATCTCATAAGAATGTCTAATCATTGAATATTTTAAATTTTATTTGTTGAATAGAACTACTTACATGTTAAAAGTTTTTAACTTTTTTTCTTAAATTTTAAAATAAGCATCCTTTCATTATTTACGTAGGTCAACCACAAAAGACGATCTGTTTCCCATTCGGAACTGTGGTAGCACCGGATGTTTCAAGTACGAATCACTATTATTTTAGGTGGTCAAATAATCAAATAAAAACTGATAATAGAATAACTAGAATGAATTCTGTTTCAGTTTAATTATTACTGGCGTTCAAACGAATTGCCGAATCAGATCATTAAGCTGGTCTTGAGTGCTCTGTTATTGAGTTCTAAGTTTTGTCAAAAGAAAACATACTTTAAGAAGCCTACAACTCATCCTTATGTTGCTATATCTAGACATTTTATCCATCAGTTTTACACAATGAAGAACATAATTTGTGAAAAAATTACAGTTAAAAAGTTGCTTTCATAACAGCAGGACTGGGACTAAGAAAGAAAAAGCTAGAAAAGGCTTTAGAAGTAACCGTTTCAGCAGCTGGCTGATTATGCGTATTGTTCGCTTTAATTATTCGCAGCAGTGAATGTGAATCTGAGAAATTTTCTTACTTTCAATTAAAATTTATGGAAGTGGCTGAAGGCTTTTAATTAGTCGCTTAGAAAAGCTTGAAGTAATTTTTTATAACTGAAATAAAAAGTGATGCAGAGAAATAATTTTCGGGAATTGGAAAACTCCAGTGTCTCCATGAGTTTCAGAATCCGAAGAAAGAAGATGCTGGAAAATGGACGCTAGAACTCAGTAACTCCGGTGGTACTGCACTTGCACCATTTGAAGTGATGATCAAAGATAAACCCAAACCACCGAAAGGACCGCTTGAAACCAAAAATGTTACCGCTAAAGGATGTGATCTTATATGGAATGCACCTGATACCGATGATAGTTCTCCAGTGCAGGGATATGTTGTTGAGATGCAAGAGGGCGACGGAAAATGGACCAAAATCGGCGAAACGAAGCAAACCGAATTTAAGGTGTTTATTGACTTTCATTAAATTTTAATTGAAAATAGCGATAATTCATATATACTTGTAAAATCATGACTGGGAGTTCATAGCGATGCATATGTCCTGAAAATTTCATTTGCGATATCAAAAGCGAATACTTTCATACGTTCAAGAATTATATGATCAACTTCTGTTTATATAAATCAGAATTAAATTTTCAATATTTTAAGGTGAAAAGTTTGAAAGAACATGGACAATATAAGTTCCGGGTGAAGGCAGTGAATGACGTTGGTCAATCTGAACCACTCATCAGTGAAACAATTACTGCTAAAAATCCTTATTGTAATTTTTGTATTTATAGTACAAATTCTGCCACTATTAATTTCTACGATTTTTAGCATTTCCATTTTTATCATTTCCTATTCTATCAACATAATGTATTGTTTAAGCCGTTCCTGACAAACCCAAAAATATGACAGCAACAGATATTAGCAAGAATTCATTGTCACTCCAATGGGAAGCTCCTGACAACGACGGTGGTTCTCCTGTCGAAAAATATGTCATAGAAAGGCGTGACAAATCTGGAAAGAACTGGACTGAAGTAGGAACGGTGCAATCATCAGAGGGGAAAAGTGTGTTCACTGTCATTGATGATACAGTTATTGAAGGAAATGAATATTACTATCGAGTTTATGCAGTTAATCAAGCTGGTTCTGGAGATCCGTGTGACCATGGACGAGCTTTCAAAATCCTTGCCAAGCCAGGTAACTTTGAAGGAAATTTGACTAACTCAAGTTTAATAGTGTTCGAAATACCCATATATCAGAAAAATAAATCGTGAACTTTGAAAAAAAAAAAATACATACCAGAAAAAAAAATGAATTCAGAACTACCCGCATTTCCGAATGGTGGTATTTACGATCTGATACTAAAAGTTGGTGAGACGATTAAATATGACCTGATAATCGTTGGCGAACCGATACCCGAAGCATTCTGGACAGTAAACGATAAAGTAATCAAGCACGGAGGTCGTTGCAAAATAATTACTGAACGTGGCAAACATCTTCTGAAGGTTACTCAAATTCAGTTTTCAATAGCTGTACTAAATAAATTTGTACAGATCTAGAAATTATCAGTTTAGTTATGGTGTTATCAAAAATCCCGTAAAAGTTCCAATTATAGATAGAAGATGCTGCAAGAGCTGATTCTGGAAAATATACTTTGACATTAAAAAATGAAAGTGGTAAATGTGACTCAACAGCAACGGTGACAGTTGTTGGGCCACCAGATCAACCTAAAGGGCCTTTGGTAATCTCAGCTATTTGTGGTGACGGTGCCACATTAGCATGGAAACCCCCGGATGATAACGGAGGTGAACCCTTAGAGGGTATGTTTTTACATTTTAAAGCTCTTGAACTTGTGCACTAAAAGTCATTACGGAACTCAATAAAATTTAGATAAATTACAGAATATATTGTGGAAGCACAAGACATGGATGAAAAAGGAAAATTTGTAGTAGTAGGTTCGATGCCTGCTTCTGAAACTCAAATGGTTGTACATGGCTTGAAAGACAAAGGAAATTACAAATTCAGGTCTGTAGATAACTACTGTAAGAGATCTGTTATTTATGACTGCGTTGTTTTAGCTGAATTCATGGTAAATTCAGTAGTTAATGTCATTCTTACTAAAAGTTGTCATTATAATCTGTTTTAAATTATGAAATCACAAGAAATTGCAAAACTGTCCAGAATTAATTTTTCGATTGCAGAGTGAAAGCGAAAAACAAGGAGGGTGAATCAAGTCCGTTGACTGCAGATCAATACGTACAAATAAAGGATCCCTGGGATGAACCTGGTAAACCAGGATGTCCTGAAATTATCGATTACGATGCTGACAAAATTGATATAGCTTGGCAACCACCGACTGAAGACGGCGGTGCACCAATTGAAGAATACATTATTGAAATGAAAGATCCAGTAACTCAAAAATGGACTGAGGCGGCCAGATCACCAAGTTCTTTTTTTCTTAAATATCTTATGATTTCTGTGTTCATTAATAAGTTCACAAAATTAATTTTTTTTTTTGGAACTTCTAATCCTGCTCAGTTTTGGTTTTGCAGAAGCAAATGCGACGATTACGGGTTTGAAAGAAGGCAACGAATATCAATTCCGAGTGAAAGCAGTTAATAAAGCTGGCCCTGGGCAACCAAGCAAACCCTCTGAGAGACAAGTTGCTAAGCCTAAATTCGGTAAATTTTCATAATCCATATCTTGTTCCAAAATAAAATTTCCCTCGAAATTTTTTTTCTTTGTAATGAAAAAACTTTAAATCATGAGTAATTTCAGTACCGGCATGGCTGAAAATGGACAATTTGAAGAGTTTAATTGTAAAGGCGGGTCAGTCAGTTAAATGGGACGTGGAAATTGGAGGTGAGCCAACACCTGAAGTTAAATGGATTAAGAGCGATGAAGTATTGACATCAAACGAATCTGTCCAGGTCATTTTTATTTTCTGGTATTTATCTTTTCTTAACAATTTGAAATTTTTTTTGATCTTAGAAACTTTAAATTATGATATTTTAGATTGAAATGAAAAGACATGGTCACACTTTGCTTTACATTCTATCTGCGAAACGCTCCGATGGTGGCAAATATACTCTGAGTGTAAAAAATTCAACTGGAGAACAAAGTGGAACTGCAGAACTAACTGTTTTGGATAAGCCAAATCCACCAGAGGGTCCGCTAAAGGTTAAACTTTTAAAAAACCTTCATGGAAAATGTTTTAGAAAAAGACGTTGGGATATTGGTAATTCTTTAGCTTAGTCGTTAGACAGTTCCGGCACAATGTTTTTCCAAAGCTTTTCCTTGATTCTTTTATACGTGCGACAAGATGGTTTTTTTCTATTTCTAAACTAATCTAAAATTCAGGGATGAATTATTATTAGTGTGTGATTCTATCGGTTTCTAGATCTCAGAAGTGTTTGAAAATAAATGCAAGCTTAGTTGGAAACCACCAGAAGATGATGGTGGTGAACCCATCGCATACTACGAAATAGAGAAGTTTGATGAAGAAGTGGGAAAATGGATTAGGTGTACTAAAGTCAAAGACACTGAGGCACATATCGACGATCTGCAAAAAGGACATACTTACCAATTCCGTGTGAAGGCAGTGAATCACGAAGGTGCTAGTGATCCTCTATCGACAAAGGACTCCATTTTAGCAAAGAATCCGTATGGTACGATTCTCGTGGTTTTATATCAAATGTGAAGACTCACGAATTACAAAAATACGAAATATTTCATTTGAGAAAGAAAATTCTGAGATTTTTCCATACGAAATCGTTTTTTTTCTCATAAGCATTCATGTCAGCTTTTCAGATGAGCCAGGGAAACCAACGACTCCAGAAGCTATTGATTGGGATATTAATCGAGTGAATCTGGCTTGGAAGCCACCAGATGATGTATGGTTATACTGCAACTTAGATTTGGAGTGTTTAATAAGACGTGTGTGTGTAAAAATAGTTTTAATAAAAATCATCTTTATCAATTATTAAATACTGTGCATGGGTCTACATTTCAGGATGGTGGTGATCCAATAAGTGGTTATGTAGTCGAAAAAAGGAAAAAGCACGCTAAAGACTGGGTGGAGTGTGCTAGAACAAATGGTGCTGGATGTGAAGCTAACATTTTGGGTTTGAAAGAAGGCGAGGAATATCAATTTAGAGTTAGGGCAATCAATAAGGCTGGAATGGGTAAGCCATCAGACCCAAGCAGAAAAGTTATTGCGAAACCTCGCAACTGTAAGTCTTCGAGAATTTAAGATTTCATATAATGTGTTTTAAGAGTTTATAAAATCGGAATTTAATACACGATCAGATTTTCAAAGTGCGAATATTTTCCAAAATTTATTTAATTCATTCTTTAGTGAAACCACATATTCATCGTGAATCGATGAAATCGATCGTAATCAAAGTAGGCGAAAGCGTAGAATTTGATGTACCAGTCAGTGGTGAACCTCCACCAGAAAAGGCTTGGATGCTAAACGACAAACCGATCGAAGACGATGAACATATTACGGTATTTTTAAATCTAATCAAACTAAGTGAAAAATCTAAAGAAATGCAGATATGAGAGAAAAAATCCGAAGAGGACAAATCAGAATAACATGGATTAGGAAAGTTTACATTTGACTTTTAAACAGGTTGACTATTCTTGAAAAGTAATTCTTTCGAATTAAAATTTAATTACTTCAATAAAGGATTAATGACAAGTCTGTTGTTCAAATATTCTCTTTCAGATAACAGATGAAGATTACAGAACTGCCTATGTGTTAAAAAATGCGATGCGAAAGCACAGTGGGAAATACACATTAACTGTGTTTAATATTAATGGAACAGATAAACATAGTGTAGATGTGACTGTTATCGGGAAGCCTTCCGCACCTGAAGGTAATCTAATCTTCTCTTATTTTCGAATATGAAATCGTTCTTAAAAACTTGAAATCTAAACAAAAATTTTGAAAAAATGAAGTTTTTAGGACCGTTAGAGGTATCAGACATTCATGCGGATCATATGAATCTGGAATGGAAGCCACCGGACGATGACGGAGGTCTTCCGATTGACCATTATGAAATTGAGAAAATGGACGTCTCTACTGGAAGATGGGTTCCATGCGGACGGTCAGAAGATTGTAAAGCAACCGTGAAGAATCTACAGGAAAGCAAAACTTACCAAGTTAGACTGATTTTATTCATTCGAGACTGAAATGTGAAATAAATGAATGAGTTCATCCACTGTTTCTACATATTTTCGGAATTGCTATATCAAATTTTCAGTTTCGCGTTCGAGCCGTCAATAAAGAAGGACAATCGGACCCACTTGCTACAATAGGAGATGGGTTCTTAACCAAAAATCCGTACGATGTTCCAGAGAAAGTGGATAAACCAGAACTAGTTAATTGGGATAAGGATCATGTTGATTTGCAGTGGAAAGCTCCAGATGACGGTGGTACACCGATTGAAGCGTATAGTTTGGAGATAAAAGATAAGCACGGAAAATGGACGGAAGTTATGAGAGTAAGGATTTATTGTTCGGCCCGTAATATTTATTTAAAAGCTATGTTAGATTTTAAGGGATTTCTTTGTTTAACACATGGAACCTTTGTATTATATTTGAGTTTTAGATTTCTGGTTTGGAAACATCTGCTCGAGTTGAGAATTTGAAGGAAGGTGAAGAATATCAGTTCCGTATCATTGCCAAAAATAAGGCTGGTTATGGTGAACCATCTAATCCGAGTGACCACATCATCGCGAAACCCAGGCATTGTAAGTCATATGCTCTCAATCATTTTTGTTGGTCTTTGTGTCCCAAAAACAAAAAATTTCTTCAAAAACATAGTCTGTTTTGCAGCTAATTTTCCCAATTTTCATAGAAAGATAGGTGAGTTGTTATAAAAATGGCTGTCTTTGTATTGCAATTGAAAGGCAGCAGTAATTTGTGACGACAAAACTTATCTTCATATCATTTGATGGAATTTGTAAACTTTTTGCAGTGGCACCTTATATTCATCGTCAGGATGTGGAAGACATAATTGTCAAGGTGGGACAACCTTTGCGACTCATCATTCACATTGATGGGGAACCACCTCCCAAAATTATCTGGAGTTGTGATGGTGAACCACTTGATTCGAATATTGTTGTTGAAAATGAGGATTATATTACCAAGTTTACTGTAACGAAAGCAATCAGGTGAATGATTCAGAATTACAATATGCAATAAAGAAATGAGGTTTCTTAAATTTTCGAAATTACCTCTAGAACTGGAATTCATCCGAATTTCTGGAATAGATGAATCACAGCATTTTTTAAGGAAACAATCTGGATTCTACACCATAACGGCTGTAAATGAAAGTGGTTCAGATAGTGTTAAATTCGAAATCAAAATAAAGGGAAAACCTGGAAAACCAAAAGGCCCTGTAGAAGTCACTGATATATTTGATGATCGCACGACCTTAAACTGGCAACCACCGGAAGATGATGGTGGCGAACCCATTGACCATGTATGTATGAATTTTTATTCCAATATGCAATTTTCAAACTTATTTGAGAATTTCATTTGGTGTTTGCTATAATGATATCCTTATTCTGATCTCTATTGGTTTCACTTGTATTTGTAATGTTCTTGAAATTTCAGTATGAGCTGGAAAAGATGGATACTAAAGATGGTATCTGGGTACCATGCGGAAAATCCAAAAACACATCATTCGAAGTTAAAAACCTCATCAAGGACAAATTTTATCAGTTTCGTGTAAAAGCAGTCAATTCTGAAGGTTCTTCGGAACCTTTGGAGACGGATAGCTATATACACACCAAAAATCCCTTTGATAAACCAGATAGACCTGGAAAACCAGTACCAACTGATTGGGATAAGGATCACATTGACCTTGAATGGACTAAGCCAGCAAATGATGGCGGGGCACCAATCGAAGAATATCTGATTGAAAAACGTAATAAATATGGACGGTAAATATTTGAAAGCAATTGCTGTGCCATTTAATAAGCAAATCGTTGAAATTCTGATGAAGTTATTTTTTTGTTAGTCTTCTTGAAGTAACTGATATTATTCGTTTGATGAATATATACGCTTTTTAGGTGGGAACCTGCTTTAACAGTATCCGGTCAGTCGACAACAGCTGCAGTTCCGAATCTTGCAGAAGGTGAAGAATATGAATTCCGCGTTATAGCTGTCAACAAAGGTGGACCGTCGGAACCAAGTGATCCAAGTGCAGCTGTTGTTGCAAAAACGCAGAACTGTGAGAAATTTTGTTAACATAATTTTTATTGACAAAGGCTGAAAATATCTATTCCATTTTATAACAATTTCAAAAATCAATCACTTGTTTGTTTGGGAATTGATGCTAAACTTGTCAAAAATTTTCTAGTGGCCCCAAAAATTGATCGGAGCACATTGAAACCAATGAAGGTGAAAGCAGGACAAATGGTTGTTTTCGATGTCTTGGTTGAGGGAGAACCACCACCAACAATCACTTGGATAAATGCAAACGGACATGAGATGAGGCATGGTGGTCGTATCAAGCTTGATAATCCAGAATACCGAACAAAATTGCAGATACGGGCATCTGAAAGGAGTGATAGCGGTATATACAAAATTCATGCCGTTAATCCAAATGGTGAAGATGAGGCTACTGTTGAAATTAATGTCATCGGTACAATTTTTTAAACCTACTTAAGCTTCCAAAAATATTATTTGCAGATATTTCTTATATAAGTTTGAGAAGTTACATGGAGAAAAATTTACTGAAGATATCTCATTCATAACAGCCAATAATTATTGCTTATGTTATTGTATAATTTTTATACAAAATTTGATTTTTTTCTGAAATTTCAGATAAGCCAAGGCCGCCAGACGGCCCACTAAACGTAACAGATATCCATGCTGATCATGCTACCCTAGACTGGAAGGCTCCTACAGATGATGGCGGATTACCAATTGATAGTTATGTTGTCGAAAGATTCGACACATCCACTGGTCACTGGATTCCATGCGTTAAGGTATATATTACATCTGTCTAATTTGATTAATTAAAATAGTCCTAATACATAATCTGCTTGAGAATATGGTCAAAGTGATATATCATAAAAGTGCAGATACACTGAACTATAAATTGTATTAAAAGTGTTTAGCTATCAGACAGCAATCATTTATTAGTGCAAGTTGAGTTGTCATATAATTCATTCTAGGTGGATGATGGACAGACAAGTGCTGTTATTGATGGTCTCATTGAAGGACATGAATATAAGTTTCGTGTATCGGCAGTTAATGCTGAAGGTGAATCTGATCCTCTTGATACCTTTGGAGCTATCCGGGCAAAAAATCCATATGATGCACCAGGTAAATAGTATTAATACTATTTGTAATATATGAGAGATTACAAACACTGAGAAATAGAATTTTCGTAAAATTACACATTATCTGTTTCAGGAAAAACTGGAAAGCCGGAAGTTATCGACTGGGATAATGATCACATAGATTTGAAGTGGACATCTCCTACAAATGATGGTGGTGCACCCATTGAGGGTTACGTGATTGAAATGAAGGAAAAGTTCGCGCCTTTTTGGAAAGAAATCAAGGAAGTATCAGCTGACCAACTTACGACTACCATACCTAATTTGAAGGATGGTTCCGAATATGAGTTCAGAATACGAGCTAAGAATAAAGCTGGTTTTGGAGATCCATCAGATCCAAGTGATTCCATAATTGCCAAGCCACGACACCTGCTACCAAAAATTGATCGTACTGCAATTGAAGAAATTAGAGTACGGGCTGGTCTTAACTTTCAACTCAATATTCCCGTTTCTGGTGAACCACCTCCAACGGTGACGTGGATGTTCTCAGGACAACCGTTGGTATCATCAGAGAGAATCAAGATTGAGAATCCAGATTACAGGACTAAATTTGTAGTGAAACGTGCTCTTCGTTCTGATACTGGTATCTACATAATTAAAGCCGAAAACAAAAATGGTACGGATACGGTTGAAGTTAAAGTGTTCGTATACGACCGACCAGGTGAACCTAAAGGTCCACTTAAAACGGACAACGTTCACAAAAATGGATGTACCCTCGTCTGGAAAGAACCTGATGATGATGGCGGTATAGAGATTAACCATTACATTATTGAAAAACAGGACGTGAAAAGCGGACGTTGGACTTTTGCGGGTGAAGCAGCTACAACTACTATGAAGATTGATGATCTAACCCCTGGGCATGAGTATAAATTTCGCGTGAAAGCGGTTAACAAATACGGAGAATCAGATCCATTAGAAACTACCCAACCAATTATTGCCAAAGATCCATTCGATACTGCCGGAAAACCAGGCACTCCGGAGATTATAGATTGGGATAAGGAACACGTAGATCTTCGGTGGAATCCTCCCTTGGATGATGGTGGCGCCGCAATCGAAAAATATGTCATTGAAAAAAAGATGGCAAATAGTGATTGGGAGTATGCAGAAGAAGTACCAGCAGACCAGACCACCACAACGATGAATCATTTGAAAGAAGGTGCAACCTATCAGTTTCGTGTAAAAGCAATTAACAAAGCCGGAGAGTCGACACCTTCCGATCCAAGTTGTACTTTCGTAGCCAAAGCGCGTAATTTACCACCAAAAATTGACCGATCTAATTTGAATGAAATTCGCATAAAAACTGGAGGTACTATTGAATTCGATGTTAAGGTTGAGGGAGAGCCACCACCGAAGATTTCTTGGTTCAACAATGAAACACCACTAACAACCTTCGAGCGTACTAAAGTTGACAACTCGGTGGATTACCGTACAAAATTAGTTACTGTGAATGCGGTACGTAATGATTCTGGCATGTATAAAATTATTGCCGTTAATGAGAATGGTAAAGATGAAGAAGAAGTGAAGGTTGTGGTGCTCGACATTCCAGGAACTCCGAATGGACCTTTAAAAATCACAGATATCACGAAGGAAAGTTGTGTCATGAACTGGAACCCACCTGAAGATGACGGTGGTTCACCTATTTTACATTATCTCGTTGAAAAACAGGAGGCTAATGGTCGTTGGGTGCCATGTGGTGAAACTTCGAATACTAGTTTACGGGTGAGCAAACTTGTGGAAGGGAAAGAATATAAATTCCGTGTAAAAGCTATCAATCGTCAAGGAGAATCACAACCTTTAACCTCAACTTATCCAATAATCGCCAAGAATCCGTTCGATAAACCTGGTAAACCCACGAATTTCACTGCGGTAGATTGGGGTAAAGATTATATCGATTTGGAATGGAAAGCACCATTGGACGACGGTGGCGCACCAATTGAAAACTATATTGTAGAGAAAAAAGATAAATTCGGTGACTGGATGCCATGTGTAACAATTGCTGGAAATATGACTAAAGCTACTGTAGCTAATTTAATACCAGGCGAAACTTATCAATTCCGGGTGCGAGCAGTTAATAAAGGTGGAAAAGGAGAACCCTCGGATCCTACCCGAGAAATAATTGCGAAACCAAGAAAGCTAACACCTAAAATCAATCTAGCTGCACTTTTCGATATCCGAGTTCGAGCAGGATCACCAGTTCACCTTGAAGTGAGCTATGAAGGTGAACCAGCACCAGAGGCATACTGGAGAATTAATGACGCCGTCTTTACTGGTACTGATAGGGTTGAAATTATTACGAAAGATGGTAACAGCAAAATTGTGATACCGTCATCAGTTCGTGGTGACACAGGTACTTATACGATCCAGGTCGAGAATGAACATGGCAAAGATAAGGCATCCTGTACCGTGACTGTTCTAGATGTTCCGGGAGTTCCGGAAGGACCAGCAAAGATCAGTGACATCACGAAAGAAGGATGCACACTGACTTGGAGACCTCCGACCGACGATGGTGGCTCTGAAATTACGCACTATGTAGTCGAGAAAATGGACATGACTCGTGGTACTTGGCAGGAAGTAGGCCATTTTCCAGACTGTACTGCTAAAGTAACGAAACTGATTGATGGAAAGGAATACAAATTCTGTATCAAAGCTGTCAATATGCAAGGACAGTCAAATTCACTTGAAACCCAAGAAATAATTGCCAGGAATCAATTTGATGTGCCACAGTCAGCGTCGAAACCAGAGATCACCGACTGGGACAAAGATCGCATTGATGTTGTATGGAAGCCACCGACCGACACTGGTGGACTACCGATCCAAGAATACATCATTGAAAAGAAAGAGAAAGGTAATCCAGTTTGGATTGAAGCAGGAAGAGTTAGTGGAGATATCACAGCTTTCTCAACTAATGGTCTGAAACCTGGATCGGAATACGAATTCCGAATTATTGCAGTAAATGAAATTGGTCAATCCGACCCATCCGAGCCATCAGATGCTCAAAAAGCTCGTCCAAGATATGTAATACCCAAAATTATCTCTCAAATACGGAAATTTAAAGTCAAAGCAGGTTTGTCGCTGACAGTAGAAGCAGAATATATTGGTTCTCCAGATCCGTCAGTAAGCTGGGAATTCAAAGATGAACCATTAGCTGAAAACCTTTTGGTAAGTAGTAAGAATGGAGTGCTAACAAGTATAACAAGTTTTTTCATACCATCTGCTAAACGGTCTGAAAATGGAAATTACACACTGAGACTGAAAAATGAAGCTGGTGAAACGTCCGGTTTATTTGAAGTTATTGTCCAAGATAGACCGTCGACACCCCAAGGACCGATTAAAGTAACTAATGTTACTAAAGAGAGTTGCATTCTTAACTGGCAACCACCGCAAGACGATGGTGGTGCGGAAATCACCAATTACGTGGTCGAGAAGCGTGATCTGCAGTCGAATATTTGGATACCGGTGTCAGTCTTTGTTCCTGGTACCACAGCCGTAGTGTCTAAACTTGCTGAAGGACACCAATATGAATTCCGAGTCATGGCTGAAAATGCAAATGGACGATCAGACCCGCTGAACAGTGACTCACCTGTGCTTGCTAAGGATCCATTTGGCAATCCTGGTAAACCCGGTCGACCAGTTGTTACCAATCACGATTTGAACCACATAGATATCGAATGGGAACCACCTAAAGATAATGGTGGCAATCCAATTTCACATTACAACATCGAGCGTAAAGACTTGAAGAATGGTCGTTGGATCAAGATAAACAATGAGCCAGTGAAAGATATCAGTTTCGTAGATGATCGTGTCCAAGAAGGTCATACTTATGAATACCGAGTCCGAGCAGTGAACCAGGCCGGTCATGGTGCACCATCGGATCCTTCAGCTGCAGCCACTGCAAAACCAATGTATGAGGCTCCAGTATTTGATATTGACATCCAGGGCAAGGAATTTCGGGTTCGTGCTGGAGAACCACTGGATATCAATATTCCATATACAGCATCACCAAAGCCTGATATTATCTGGATGAAAAATGATCAAACGCTTAACGGTGTAGAGACAGACGACTCGAAAACACGTCTTTATATCAAGAAAAGCAAACGTTCGGACTCCGGTGAATGCATCATTACTGCATCGAATTCGTACGGTAATGTACAAGCAACAATTAAAATTTCCGTAGTTGACCGACCAGGACCTCCAGAAGGTCCAATGGCTTATCCGGAAACATCACGCCATTCCTTAACCTTAAGATGGCGTCCACCTGAGGATGATGGTGGTTCAGAGATTACCGGTTATCGGATTGAATACCAAGAAACAGATATGTTGAATTGGATTCGTGTTATCGAAGCAGTCGGTGGTACCACATACATCGTTCGCGGACTGGATCACGGAAAGCAATATCGCTTTCGTGTACGTGCTGAAAATGTGATGGGATTGAGTGAACCACTAGTAGGTGCACCAGTGTTTGCAAAAGATCCATTTGATCAACCTGGACCACCCTCTACTCCTGAAATAACGGGATATAGTCGTAATCAGATAAATTTGTCGTGGAATCCACCAAGTAACGATGGTGGATCGCCTATCATAGGTTATGTAATCGAAAAATTTGAAAAAGGTGACAATGATTGGACACCCGTCAAGATGCGCTCAACTAAAAATACCAAAGCTATTGTAACTGGTTTAATTGAAGGAGAAACTTACCAATTCCGGGTCCGAGCTGTTAATCTGGCTGGTGAAGGTGAACCAAGCGGTAATTCTGAACCCACAATGTGTCGTCCGTTCGTTACCCCACCTGATGCCCCAGATCAGCCACGAGTAGGTAAGATAACAAAAAACTCCGCGGAATTGACCTGGAACCGTCCTTTAAAAGATGGTGGAGCCCCAATTGAAGGATATATTGTTGAGAAAAGAAAAGTTTGTGTTGGGGACTGGATACCATACAACGATAAACCTGTTAAAGATACTTTCCTGGTAGTGGAACCACTAGAGGAGAACGGAGAATATGAATTCCGCGTGAAAGCAGTTAATTCGGTTGGAAAAAGTAAACCGTCTAGGCCAACCGATGTGGTGCGTATTGAAGAGCAGCCAGGTCGGCCATGTTTAGATCTATCTGACATTAAAGATATCACTGTCAAGGCTGGAGATAATTTTGAAATTAAAATCCCTTTCACTGGTGGCAATCCAAAACCAATGGCAACTATTTTTAATGGAGTGAAAGAAATATTTGGCGAAGATGATCACATTAATATTGAGGTAATTTTTTTATGAATTTTCTTTGCGAAAATTTTCCGAGCTTTAACGAAAGTCAACTGCCAAAATTGGTCAAGATTATGAAAATTTTGTTTAATTTTTTTTTTAATCACTGCTTTTTTTGGCAATTTTTTTTAATTATTACTTTTTTCAATCATTGGAAGGGAATAAAATATAATTAACAACAGTTTGAAATTCAGGTAAGCGACGGTTTTGTGACTTTAACAACAAAGTCAGCGAGAAGATCAGATGCTGGGCCGTATCGTGTTACATTAAGTAATCGTTTCGGTAAGGATAGCACAAAAGTGAATGTTAATGTGTTGTCACCGCCAGGTAAACCTGTAGGTCCAATAGCAGCAAGTGAAATTGTCGGTGATGCAATAACACTTCACTGGAGTCCGCCACTTGATGATGGCGGTGCTGGTGTAAGCAATTATGTGGTGGAAAAACGTGAATCGGATGGTACCTGGACCAAAGTTGGTCAGCCAGCTGGTACCAGTTTCCGAGTACGTAACTTAGAAAATGGACATCCATATGAATTTCGAGTTTCGGCTGAAAACCAGTACGGCATTGGTGAACCACTTGAAACAACGGAACCGATTACTGCAAAAGATCCTTTTAGTAAGTTTCAACTGCTTCATTAGAACTTCAGTTTTGTTAATAGAGAAATTTTTCTCAAAACTAGAAATTGTATTTTTACTATCTAGCTATTTGTAAGCACATGAGGTCCACTATTTTTAGGTAACCCTGATGCTCCTGGGAGACCAGAAGCTATTGCAACAACTGAGAATACCATTACGTTGCATTGGACTCAACCGTTGAAAAATGGTGGTTCACCAATACAAGGTTACGTGTTGGAAAAGCGTAAAAAAGGTGATGAGTGGTTAAGATGCGCTTTTGGCCTTATCAACGATACGCAGTACCGGGTAGGGATCATAAAAGTTCATAATCTTCTAACATTAATCATGTGACGTAACAAATCGCCTGAAGACAGCAAGAAGGCTAGTAAAAATGATCAAATCAATTATCGAACTACGTTCAGAACTGTTCTTTTCTAGGTCACTGGTTTAACACCACACAAACGTTATGAATTCCGTATAGCAGCAGTAAATGGAGTTGGCCAAAGTCCATGGAGTCAAAACAGTGAACAAATTACGGCTCAGATGGAAGCTGTGAGGCCAAGGATTCAGCTTGCTTTATTTGGCAAAGACATTATTGCTCACGTTGGATCTTCAGCGAAGGTAGGTCAATAGAGCGATTATTTGCTGATTAAAACCTTATAAAATCTCGATGACTTGGAATTATATGTTCAAATTGGTCATATCTTCTAACTTTTGAAATGAAAATTAAATTTGCAGATTTTGGTGCCATTTTCGTCAAGTCCGTCTCCGGAAATAATCTGGAATAAGGATGGTAAGCCAATTGATGAAATGTCAAAACGTTTAAGACTTGAATCAAACGACTTTTTGACACAGCTGTTATATGAAAAATGCGAACGAGACGATACGGCTACCTACACCATCAAGGTAAGTAGTTGCTTTTTAGTAAGCTGAAAAGCATCCGAAAATTTCAATCTTTTAGGAACATGAAACACTGAAAGTTTTCAACACTAAGAAGAAATGCTTCTCAACCTTTACGACACTGTTTCTTTCGCCCAATACCATGGAAGTCACGGAAGAAAAATCGACTTTTAGTCATCGTTTGACGAGTTATTGTGTGTAGACTTTAAAGTTGTGGATATGCAAATGAGCATGCTTTAAAAAGGCACGTGAAAAAATAAGTACATTCTTGAAGTATCTTCAAATCAAAGGAAAAAATTTATTTTCAGCTGGAAAATGATGCTGGATCAGATAGCGTCAATGTCAGATTACTAGTTGTCGATAGTCCATCCCCACCAAAGAGTCTTATAGTTTCCGATATCACACCAGATTCCTGCGTTTTGGATTGGGAACCTCCAGATGATGATGGAGGCTCTCATATCACAAATTATATCTTGGAAAAGTGTTGCGTTAATACGCCGTCAGATGATGTCTGGGAGAAAATTAGTTCATTCGTACGTGGTACCAATTATGTAGTAACTGGTCTTAATGAAGGCGAGAGCTACAAATTCCGAGTTAGGGCGGAGAATCAGTACGGTATATCAGAACCAAATGCAGTAAATGAGCCAATTGTTGCTTGCTATCAGTTTAAGGTACCTTCACAACCAGATCCACCCACTGTTCGTGACATGGACAGTACATGGGCTGAAGTGGAATGGGAATCACCTTTAGATGGAGGTTCGAGGATTCTCGGATATGTGTTGCAGTACAAGGAACCTACATCTGGTAAATGGATAAATGCCAGTGCCCGCCCACTAGAGGCTACCAGCTTCCGTGTTCAGAATTTAAAGGATAAAGGTGAATATGAATTCCGTGTTATCGCTAAGAACAAAGCTGGTCTGTCAAAACCATCGCTGCCATCAGAAAAAGTACAACTTAAACTCAAATTTGGTCCACCTGGCCCACCGACCCAAATATCTGTCGAAGCGATAGGAAGAAATCACGTAACGCTCACCTGGGCTCCACCAACTGATGACGGTGGTTCCAAAATAACTGGATACATTGTGGAAAGCCGAGAAGTTGGTATCCAGAGCTGGAGAGTTGTTAGTGACTACAATGTACAGCAACATGAATTCACAGTCCCTAATCTGATTGAATTTCATGACTACGAATTCCGAATTACAGCTATCAATAAATACGGAAAAGGTTTACCATCATTACCTTCGTCACCAATCAAAATCCAGGAGATGGGCGGTTCTAAGCCTGTAATTGTTGTCAAACCAGCGAACACAGCTTCGCCTTATAATCGCCGTGCAGTATTTACATGTGAAGCTATTGGCAGACCAGGTAATTTAAACTGCTTGATTCATTAATGAACTTCAATTCCAAACATTGGAATCTTGAAGCTTTTTTTAAAAATACTTTAAAAGCTTTATAATAAGGGTATTTTTTTAGCACCAACCGCACGCTGGTTACGTAATGGACGTGAAATACCAGAAGGTGCACGCTATCGCACTGAAGCACAAGATGAAGTTTTCAAACTTATCATCAAAGAAGTATGGGATATTGATTCTGGTGAATATACTTGTGAAGTGTCAAATATTTATGGTTCCGATTCTGCTACTGCAGCATTACTTGTTCAAGGTGGAACTTGTTGAGCTGTTTCTTACTATTGTTTTGAAAAAAAAATTTTCTTTAACAGAATTTTGATTTTAAGCTTAAATTTCAGCTCCACCTGTGATAGAAAAAGGTGTTGCAAATGCTATATATGCCGATGGTGAATTAGTACGCCTAAAGATTTACTTCTCTGGCACCGGTCCTTTTAATTATTCATTTACCCTAAACAAGAAAGAAATACCTGCGGATCATCCCAACATCCATTTCGTGGATTTCAATAATCACGTTATCATTACTATTCCTTCGATACATAGCAGTGAGGCTGGTCGTTATGAGTTAACAATAAGCAACGACAGCGGTGAAGCGAATACTAGTTTCTGGCTGAATGTAACCGGGCTACCGTCAGCACCTCAAGGGCCACTACAATTTTCAGGCTTGAATTTATCTCAAGTATTACTTAGTTGGAAGCCTCCAGTGGTTAGTTTTTTTTTCCTTTCGAATTTCTTCTTCGCAGTTCAATTTCTGAAATATTTTTCATTAGATTAAAACAGATTTAAAAATTTTTTATAGAGTGATGGCGGTGCACGTATAAGCAATTACGTTGTCGAAAAGCGCAACCTAACAAAGGATGAATGGACTGAAGTGGCAACACTTATAAAAGATACTAACTATTTGGTTAGTGACCTCTTTGAGGGACACGAATATGAATTCAGAGTTAGTGCCGTAAACGAAAATGGGCAAGGTCCACCCCTCGTTGGTGACCAGTCAATTATTGCACGGCTGCCATTCGATCCTCCATCATCTCCTGGGAAACCTCAGGTAAATTTTCTGGAAAAATTGGTCGATTTCAAACTCTTTAATAAATGAAGGCATCTTTGGATGAAGTTAAAGTTTCTTTTTTTTTTAATTTATAGATGAAAGGCAACAGATGGAGTATATTTCAGAGTGTAAATATAGGTGAAAATTCTATGACGTTGAGTTGGGCTCGTCCAAATTTCGATGGAGGAGGTCGCATCCGTGGTTACTTGATTGAAAAAAGGGAAGCTGGTACAGATATTTGGCAGAAATGCAATTATAAAACAAATCCATCTACTTCTTGTGTCGTGAATAATCTGATAGAAAATCGTGATTATGAATTTCGTGTATTTGCTGTCAATGATGCTGGCCATTCTGAACCATCTGTGAGGTATTTTTTTAACTGCAAAGATGTTAATCTACTATTTGTTAAAAATGTAACCTCAAACCATGAAAAAAGTGAATCAGTAAACGAAGAAAAAAAAAACAAACTTTTTAATTTCAGCTTTCTAATCCTAGAACTTAATTTTCCAGTGATATTGTCAAATACGTTCATTTGTCATCTGGACAAGCACCAACAATCGTTACTCCGCTTACCGACCTATATGGTGAACAAGGACGATCGGTGACTTTAGAATGCGTAATAACTGGCAATCCACAACCGGAATATCGTTGGTACAGAGGTCTCCGAGAGCTTATCGAAACTTCCAAATATAGCATCTACGACAAGGGTGACACACAAGTAAGATGTATTTTTCGATAGAACTCATGAGAATTAAGAAAATATCTAACAGTTGTATTTTTGAATATTATGCGATTGTTCGAAATTACTAAAGGCTCTTCACAGTTTTGGTTTTCCTTAACAAGGATTTTGTTTATAATTCAACAAGGTGCATTTTTCCAGACACTGGTCATTAATGATTTGCATGCTGATGATACCGACGAGTACTCTTGCCGTGCAACGAACTCTAATGGCACCAAATCAACGCAAGCACAAATGACTGTTTGTTCTAAACCCCGTGTATTCCTTCCACCACAGTACCATGGAGGTTATGAAGCAAAGAAAAATGAAAGCATCGAGTTGAAAGTTCCATTCAAAGCGTTTCCACAACCTAAAGCAAAGTGGTTCAAAAATGCTGAACCAATTAGCGGTTCTGACAAATATAAAATTATTACCGATGACAAGTAAGTTTTTAACTCTTCACTAATTGTTTTAACTTTTTTGGGATCAGTTTCAATCAAAATTTAAATCTATAGTTCATTCTTACCAAAACTTTATATTGTGAATTTTTAGGTTTACAACTTTGATAATCTCGAATGGTACACGAGAAGATTTTGGGCAGTACCGAGTAGTTGTAGAAAATAATGTTGGTTCAGATTCCGCTACTATAAGTTTAACTGTTGCTGATAGACCGGATCCGCCGCGATTTCCTATTGTTGAAAATGTTCTAGATGAAGCTGTTATTTTGTCATGGAAAACTCCGGCGCTGGATGAAAATGTTCTGATCACTAAGTAGGTTTTTTTGAATCTTTTCATTATATCAATAACAAAAATTTTTGAAAAACTACTTTTAAAAAACTTAATTTAAATTTCTAGCTATATTGTTGAGCGACGTGAGGCAACCAGCGGGCAGTGGGAACAATGTGCCAGATCACGTTATACTTATCTGACAGTAGAAGGCCTGAAACCTAAGCATACTTACGAATTCCGTATCATTGCCGAAAATAAATACGGACAATCAAAACCGTGCGAACCAACTGCCCCTATTACTATTCCTGAGCAACGTATTCGGAAAAAAGGTTATGATGGTAAGGATATTTGTCTCAGATACGTTGGTGTTAATTTATATTGAAATTGATTCATTTAAAAATTCTGAATGGTGAAATCTTCAACTCCACACACAATTTTTGCAGTTGACGATTTGGGTAGGATTGTCCATGGGAAAGGAGTAACATCTGATAATTATGATGCTTACGTAATCGATGTTTGGAAAGAATATTATCCACAACCGGTAGAACCAAAACGAGAATCGGTGTACGATTATTACGACATTCTTGAAGAAATTGGGTCGTAAGTTTTTTTCAATGTTTTTCAAGCAATCGAATTAAATGCGGGAAAAAATCTTTCAAAAGAAAGTGTGCAGTTTCTGAAGCAAAAGTTGGTTGATGTTTCTACAAAATTATTTCCATAGAAATTTGAATAATACTTTGCAGAGGGGCATTTGGCTCTGTACACCGTTGTGTTGAAAGAGCAACTGGTAATACCTTTGCTGCGAAATTTGTTAACACTCCTCATGATGCGGACAAGGATACAGTGCGCAAGGAAATTAATACCATGTCTGTTCTTAGACATCCGAAACTGATAAATCTGCACGATGCTTTTGAAGATGATAAAGAAATGATCATGGTTCATGAGTTGTACGTTTCTTCAATCTTGACTAATTTTAATGTTAAAGGAACATTCAGATATCTCTCTTCATCAGTCCTTCATTTCATAAATTTTCAGAATATTTTTGAACAAGATTCATAATCTATTAAAACATTAAAATATTTTGCAGTATGTCAGGTGGTGAGCTGTTCGAGAAAATTTCCGATGAAAAGAATCGTATGTCGGAAATGGATGCGGTCGGTTACATTCGACAAATATGTGAAGCCTTATGTCATATGCATGAGATGAGTTATGTGCATTTGGATCTGAAACCTGAGAATATTATGTTCATAACAAAGAAAAGTGACCAGTTAAAGTTGATCGATTTCGGTTTAGCAGCAAAACTAGATCCTAGAGACACTGTAAAAGTGACAACTGGTACAGCAGAATTTGCGGCACCAGAAGTAGTTGCCAATGAACCAGTCGGATATTATACCGACATGTGGAGCGTTGGTGTACTTGCTTATATCCTGTAAGTTTTTTTTTTTTCAGCCTAATTTACTCTAACTAGATCTGGAAGAAATGCACATTGATCTTAATTCCTTATACATCATTAAGCCTTTATTAACAGTTCTTATGACTCTTATCAAGTGATTAATCGTAAGTCAGCCTCTTACTTACACGTTAGTTAATAGTTTAATTCAAAAGCAAAGCACAAAAAATCTGAGGCTTTCAGCTTATCCGGTCTCTCACCATTCGGTGGAGAAACTGATGACGAAACTCTCCGAAATGTAAAGAAATGTGACTGGAACATGGATGACCCTAGTTTTGCAAGTATTTCTCAGGATGCAAAAGATTTCATTAAGAAGATTCTAATGCTTGATCCAAAGTAATTTTCATTTTACTAATTTGCACTATTGTGTAAAGGCATTTAAAGTCCGGATAAGTAATCAACTCTTGAAAAAGTGCTTCGTTTAATTAATGAATAAATTAATTACAGAAGTCGGATGACCGTACATGAAGCTTTGGAACATCCTTGGTTAAATGGTGCTACCAGTAATGTACCGTCTCAGCAAATACCCAATGAACGCTATCATTCCATTCGTGACTCTATTAGACGGAAATATGTAAGTATTATCTTCAATATTCGATGTAGGAAAAAATTCAAACATTTTTCACAAATAAATTAATATCAGGACGCTTGGCCAGAACCAAATCCACCTCTTGGACGCATTTCGAACTACAGCTCCCTTAAAAAGCATCGTCCATCTGAATATCATATTCACGATACATGGTTCAGTAGAGAAGAAGGCCAGCCACGATTCATCGTTAAACCATTCAGTACAAGCTGCGATGAAGGTGGAAATGCTACATTCTCATGCAGGTTTGTTATATTTTGATATTCGCAACGATATAAATTTTAATTTTGAAATTTTTTTAAAGTTCTCGCCTGAAAATTTTTTTAGTTTTCACCTAAAATTAAGCTTATTAGATTTTCCAGAAGGAAAGAATTTATTGCAGAGTTATCGCTTCATCACCACCAATAGTAACTTGGCATAAGGAAGCGAATGAACTGAAGCAGAGTACCAAATATATGAAGAAATATACAGATAATAATTATATGATAGTAATAAATAGGGTTAGACCAGAAGACGCTGGTGAGTACACTGTACGAGCAAAGAATTCATATGGTTCTAAAGAGGAAATCGCATTCTTGAAAGTGACTGGTTAGTTTAAATTTGAAAATTTAAACCTAAATTCCTCTTTGTTTATCAACTTTAAGCAGTAATGATGTGAAAACTAGATATTAACTTTCATTACAAATCTTGAAACCAAGCTGCATAATTTTTAGAATCAACTAGAAGACAAAGCAATTTAATAATATCAGAATTTGAAAAACGAGCTTATGTTATGCGGGAACCTGAACTATTTAAAGAACGCCAAAGTGCTCCAAAATTCACTTTCCATCTTCGGTCACGTCTTATCCAGAAGAATCATCCATGTAAATTAATCTGCAATGTACAAGGCGATCCAATTCCTAAGGTGATTTTATGCTTATTTTAATCTGCATTTTGGAAATGATATTGATGAGCAACTTTATTGAAATAGTGTTAGGTGATGGTCATTGTAAATTTATAAGGATGGAAATTAATTTCGAATTTCAGGATGTAATTCTAAATTTTAAATTTGAATATTTATGTATAGGTGGAATGGTTCAAAGATGATATACCAATTAACATGGATAGAGCACATTTAACCTATAGAAGCGGTGTGTGCACGATGGAATTATTCAGTTCCCGTATGGACGATGCGGGTACTTATCGTTGTGAAGCAACTAACAGTTTAGGAACAGATTATACCGAATGTAGTGTCAATGTACAAGGTAGTAACTATGCTTTTAACTGACGTTCAGTATAGGAATTCATTTAAGTCTGACGCATTATATTCGATTGATCCATCCACTAACATATAAATTATAGCAATTCCGCTTACTAAATCAATACGATCACATCTTAACATTTTGAGGAATTGAGAAAATATTTGAGAATTTCGAGGTGTTTCATTTCACAAAAACTTTTTTTCAAGGTAGAAGCGGCGAATCAATACCGGTAAAACCACTTCGTACAAGACGGATTTATGACACTCTCAGTGCAGGCAATATCGAACGTTCACAATCTAGTGCCGATGTTTTGCCGGAACATAATATAAAGCCATCAACACCACAGTCTCGGGATGATTTAACTGCAAAATATAATGATAAACCACCAACTTTTATGTCGAAATTGTCGAACACTGCCGTAAACGAGGGCGAACAAGCTGAATTCTCTTGTACGGTGAGTGCTTATTTATTTAAATCTCAGGAATCTGACAAAATCAATTCTCAAAGTGCGAACAAGAGGCTTTGCAGATAACTGCGTATCCGGAACCGCTTATCGAGTGGCTCCACAACGGTGAACGTATCATTGGTGATTCTCGACTAAAAATTTCTTTTGTCACTGATCGAGCTTCACTAACAATCAGAAACATTAATAAACAAGATGCGGGGGAATACTGTTGCAAGGCTAGTAATTCGGCAGGTTCGGAAACAAGTAAAGCAGAACTTATAATTAAAAAGTAAGTTTTAAGTAACATTTATGGTGCAGAATTTAGGAATAGCATTTATTTTCCATAATGGCTGGCATCAAAAGACGCTGACAAGTGCAGAAAATTATAGTTTAAAATTTATATAAGGAATGAGGCTAAATTTCAACAAATTGGCCAAAAATTTGATATAGTACCACTTCAAGCTGGAAATCGTTTGTGTTTAGAAGCGCTACAAGGATGGATAATGCTGTAGCTGAACCGCTGACAAATGGTGAATTGACCGCTAAAGAGACAGCAAAGCAACCTGAAACAGCAATCCAGACTATTTTAAACGGTGATGTGATGAACAACATGGGTGGAAAGACCTTAGAAAAAGATGGCCAATTTCGGATAATTCGACATCTAGAGGGAATTCAGGTTGCTTCTGGTTCAACGGCCATCTTCTCAGCACTGTCTTCCGGAGCTGTGGATGAGGTTTGTGCTTAAAAAGTTCCAGTTTAAGCAAAAGAGTTTTATAAAGATATGCTAGATAAATTTATATTGAAAAATAATGTATAACTGCTTCAAATTTAGGTAATATGGCTCAAAAACGGAAAAGAAATCCAGTCAAATGAAAATGTGACAATGAAAGTAAGCGACAGTGAATATCGACTTGAGCTCTCTAAGGTGTCTCCTGACGATCACGGCATTTATCAAATCGACTTCCGGCATGGTGGAAAAACATTTACGTCAGCTGCGTCACTTGTTGTACTTGGTATTTTTACTTTGGTATAACAAATTGGAATGTTGCTCCAGAACTAGTAATATTTAAAGCGATATTAATTTTTGCAGGCTTAATGAAGTGTAACTGCTTCAATTCCATTTTAGACAAACAAAATGAACGCGCTGTTTGCAAACTTCCACAATCCGTGACGGTTAAATCTTCAACGCCCTGTAAATTAGTTCTTGAAATGGAGAATGGCGAAGATTTGACAGTACAGTGGTTCAAAGGATTGAGTAAAGTAGAGAAATCCAATCGTATCAAATCAGTTAAATCTGGAAATGCTTTCAAATTAGATTTCAAGGTTTAGTACATGCTTAAATGTCCGTGTTTATTTGAAGAATTCGTGGTGATTTATTTAAATAAAGAACTTGAAATTCAGTCGGGGAATAATTTACCCTAACAATTTCAGGATGTCCAACCTGACGATGAAGGCATTTATGTAGTAAAAGTAATCAAGGATAAAAAAGCGATATGTAAATACGCAGCTGCTTTACTGGTCGAAAAATAATTATACTGTTAACGACACATATAAATCGACGTAGTTTATACGTTAATACTTAAAATCGAATGAGCCTTCTCTTTCATCGATCCATGTCAATTGAAATTGTGATTTATTATTTATGTCATTGTACATAAATGTCGTATAAAACTTCTAGCTTATTATACTTCTTTCTGCTCAGCGTTAACACATCCACGTTCTAGATTTACTCATCATATCCCACGAATTCAATATTCTTCAGTAGTAGCTCTTTCTATGAAGGCAAAAAACTTTCTATGGCTTTAGGATGCAGCATGGAAAAACTGACATACGATACATTGGCAGTTCGATTAGTCATCGCATTGCTTCATTAAACAACAATTTCGGGTTTATCAAGAAGAAACTTCTAGAACTGAACAGTACTACAGCAGAGCTACTGAACAGTACTACAGCAGAGCTACTGAACAGTACTACAGCAGAGCTACGAAGGTGACTGTTCTCAAGAATTCGCACGCAAAAAAGACTTGAGAGCTCAGACTTCAACAAACATTTTTACAAGAAAAAATTCGCGAATGAATTAGATTAAGTTCTCACTTTGTTTTAAAATCGTCGTATTTCCAGAAAGTCTTAATCAGATGCTCTGTGCAATCCAAGCCACAGTTTCTGGTAGTGATATTAGAGCTTAGGGAAGAAAACTTTGAACTTCTGATCTTGGAAAAATCTTTGGAGTTCTTGAAAGGACTTCAAATGCCTCTTCAGGCAGTGATATCCCACAAAAGCCATACACTCCTCGGTAATAACATACCAACCTTAGCGAATGATATCAGAATTGTATTAAATAGCGGAAATCGACCAAAGCGAAAATTTGTCTAGTTGCGAATAAACATCGTCCCATGTTCAACTTGTTGTAATACACAAAACCAATGTAATTAAACTTAAACTGAATTAAGTTAACCACATGACAGCTGTACATAAGATAGACCCACAGCATCAGCGCGCAACTACTCCCTTACAATCGAAGATTCTGTGATTGACTTGGAATCTTATTAGCCATTAACATAAAATGAATTTACATAATGAGGAAGTAAAAAAAAAGTTCCATTATCAAAAAATGTTTAATAAACAGCATTCTTTGTGAAATAAAAAATCTCGACGAATTCTTCCTTTTAAATGAAGAGAATCAAGGCTGCTATTACAGGTTATTATATACACAAATAAAAATAATTTATATGCATATACACTGTGTCTATTACGCATATGAAATAGCATAAGAATGTGAAAGCTTTCATTTTAAGCAAAAAAAAAAATATCAGTATTCTACACCAGAAATTAAATCATTTAGAATGTAACTAACAATTTCACATGTAGTATTTTCATACCTTTACACAGAGTCATAGTTATCATTAAAAGCGTACAAGATGAAGAAAAAAGCAATTCCCCGTCAGAAGCCCACAAGTTACACATACAAAAGAATTTAATTTTACTACATGGGTTTGCATATGAATTTGACTAAATTTCCAGCCCTCTTTTTTAGAATATAATATAAATGAACGATATCTGCGACAATACAAGATGGAGAGGAAATCAAAAACTGTCCACAAATAAATAACACTAGAACTAAATAAGCAGGAGATGCAAAAAAAAAAAAAAAAAAAAGACATATATAAGTGATTTAAGCAAATGCAGTTCCAATAAAATATCCTAAAAAATAGGACTTAATCTGAACTTACAGATGACTCAGAAATGAACTGCCTAGTGAAAGATATTTTGAGAAACAGGAATTCTATAAGAACAATCGCCAACACTAAGTGATACCATCTATAAATTCTTTCAGTAAATCATCTTTGTATTTCGAAACTGTTTTAGGAACGAAGCAAATGCGTTCTAAGAGATGAAGTAACAGCAGATGATACAGTTTGCACGTACAAATTAGCAAAATTCGGATACAGGACTGGTCGATTTCACCAGGAAAATAGTAAGGTGAGCCATCAATTATCTTTCATTTTTAGAATGCTGAATTAACCACTGCAACGTTATATCTGAAAAGATGGATACAGTAAGTGGAAATGAGTACACCAAGCATTATGCAATCTTTTATTTGACTTCATTTTCCCTGTAATCCTTAATTGAAATCAGTAGTCTTTATACATAATTACGTGAAAATTTACCTATGTTATCCTTTTCCTTACAAGATATCGAGTAGCAACAGATTTCCCTGTTTTGGATTGCTGATAAATTCCTGGAAATAGATCCTATTAAATGAATTACTTCAAACGTTGTGCATCAAATACCAAGACGGCCTCATGTCATTTCCCACTCAATGAACAACTGTAGGAACGAAGAATTTATGAAGGTTTAACATATTTAATTACTATCACTTACATCCGTTCAATAAGTTGCCGCTCATCAAGGGCACCGGGAAGGTCTTTTTTGTTTGCTAATACAAGCACAGGGATGGAATCAAGCTGTGGCTTATCTAAAAGTTGGCTTAATTCATTTCTTGAAGCCTCCAGTTTATCTTCATCAGCAGCATCAACCATAAAAATGATCGCATTGACACCTCGACAATACCTTTCCCACATAGAACGAAACCGTGGTTGTCCACCAATATCCCATAACTTGAAATAGTGTTCAATATATTATGGTAGAGCAACGGTATTTAGAATAGCTAAATTGCGAACGGTCAAATCAAATCAATTAGAAGTAACAGGAGATATTACGTGGTCATATTACATGGTTTTATAGTTATAACTTGTCATGAATGTTTTGCAAACATCCCAGGAAATTTTTATAAAATTCTAGGCTCTTAATAATACATCGATTCCTACTATAATACATTAATGGATGAAAAATGAAGAGTAATATTTTAAAGTGTGACTCCATCATTCATTAGCAGCTATTATAGATAGCATTTCCATTAAGTGATTTCTAGAAAGCTACCAACCTTACCTTAATTGTGACGTTTCCCTTTGTAATTTTGCGCATATTGAATCCGACCGTTGGAATCATATCTTCAGTGAACTGACCAGTCTAAAACTATAGTTTTCTAAATAGAAAAATAAACAAGACCGATTTAAATTTGATTAAAATCAGCAACTTTCAAGTTATGTCTAATATAAACTTCTTGGAATTTTAAACGATGAATGTAATTAATACCGCAATAACATTAACAAATGTAGTTTTTCCTGAATTCTGCAACCCAACAAGTGTTAATTCCATCTCTTCTTTCCAGAATAAACTTCGGATCCAATCCAAAACACGATTTATCATTGCCAACATTGCTGAGGTCCGCTCCTCCTCTCTGATCCACACCAGAACAGAAATACAGTATATTTTACCAGATATATCCCCTCATGCGAATTCCCAAATCGATTTAACACATCATATGTAGCAGAATTAATACGTGCACGAAAATCGATGAACAAAAAATGCAACAATCAACCCAAAAATTAATAACAACAGCCAATTACAGTGCGAAAATTTGGTATTCCAAGAAAAGAGGTACCTATATTTCATTCCAAACATATATAGGAAGGAATACATTTTTCGGCCATCAGTTATCATTTACAGAAGAGTTGTTTCATTTTAGTTGTTAATTTTTCTTAGATTCACACAAAATCAGAAAAAAGTAACATATGAACTAGTTGTAAAGACGGAGTGAGGAAATCTATAGAATAGTCAGCAATAGATGGCAAAACAAACAAGATGAGAGTTATCTACAAAAACTGAAACTGTTTATAAATGTTCGGATAAGTTCCATTATCTTTTTAAAGAATAACTGCAAAATCATGAAGAAGCGGCAAGTGACAAAGTAATAATGCACTGTTGCATTACGTGGTGTATTGAAAGAAAGGTTAAGTGATAACTCTTAAAAAGAAAGAAACCATATGTGGATACCACAGAGTTAACTCATGCTCCCTGAACAATCACTCATTCCAAACCCTTTCTAGGAAGTACTCACAAAAAAAGCGCAGAAAAACACAAGGACTACCGCAGAAACATCACAAACCTCCCATCGTATACAAGAATTTTAGGATCCAAAAGATATACTGCAGCTAAATGGTTCATAACGATGACACTTCAAATCATTGTAAATATACTAGCGGTACCTGACAAAATTTTTTTTAAAAAACATTCGAAGTTCCTCGTTTTTTGAAAATTTGAGGTAGGATTCAGGCCAAGTTCTTTTCACGTGAGTTAGATGGTGGTTGGGTCCGGTCATACCAATTCGGTGAAATAAGCTTTCGCTCTTTGCTAACGAACTGCAGTGATTCCCTTGAATACATGCTACATCGGAAATAGTATTCATTTTTTAATTTTTTCTAAGGAAAAAGCAAGCTTTCCAAATATCCTGTGCTTCATCATACGCACTGTTGATATTAGAAATCAAAACTGTCTTGAGTTTTCTTAAATCCTTTCCCGCTATTCCATGTGGTGTCATTTTTAGTCTATCCAACTGTGGATTTACACATATAGCATAAGTATCACCTTACGCCGCATTCTCTATTCGGAGTAGCCACGCATACGAGAGACGAATTGAACTGTTCTATTCTGGATACCTAACGACTCTTGTATTTATTTAAACTAGTTCTCGCTCCTAAACCAATACCTACTCTGAATCCGTTCCGCGGCATCTCGGGTAGCTTAGAAAATTGTTGATACTGTCTGACACTTTCTCTAATTTTAATATTTTCCTAAATTAGCCATTATAAAGGCAGATTTTAGAATTCACCGGCTAAAATTTTTCAAACACTCACATTTACTAAATATTCTCAGCGTATCTCTCTGTCTGCAAAAGTTTGAGCCTTTATATAAGATGCACCAGTTAAAAACCGAAATTCATTCTCAAAATGAATTCTTATTGTCACGAAATTCGAAACAAGTATCTCGAACTTTAAAAGAATTATAATATGTCCAGTAATCTGTTAAGTCCATAAACTAACGCTCTCTTATTTAAATACTCTTACAAATGTTCCTGAAATTTTATGGTTCACTGCCCAAAACGGAACTTCATGAATGATTATTTCATGCAATTGACATTTCCTTTAAAAAGCTATTATTCAAATTTCATCATTCAATTACGTGAAATATTACAACTTAACATGGAACTCGTACATAACTTATATTGGATTTTTCATCCACAGAAGGTATGTTTATCACATGAAACATACTAGTTTTGCTCCAGTTTGCTCGTTTACCCTCAAGTTTGCATCTTTTTCATAATAAGCATGTACTGCAACGCCGAATCACAGTAAACTCGAAACCGAGGACGGCTTATTCAAACCAACTTTGCACCACTTCGCAAACTCTTTTAAGATCCAGATTCTCAAATCTATTCACGGCCACAATAACTGACAACTACGCACCGCCATTTCCATCCCTAAATTATTTTACCATTTTCACATAGCTCGTCCACAGAACTTCAAATTCTTTATTTTGAAACAATATTAAGACATTGAAAGCAGAAGCGAGCATATCAGCAATGTAGTATTCTGACATGTCAAAAAGAGAGATCCAGAGTGAAACAGGTACTACATGGATTACATATCAGAAAGATTCAAAAGTCCACAAAAACACCGGAAACAGTCGAAAGTGAAGTGGGGCAAGAATGTACCATAATGTGAAAATGCAAGAATGACATAAGGCATTTTGAATAGGCAAGAACACTTACTACGAGAAGTATGGTCATATAAGCACGGCAACCGTGCTCTTCGGTAAAGCTTGACAAGATTGAAACAAAAAAAATAGTTGAGACTCCGAAAAGGGCTAAGCGAAACGATTTACGAATATAACTAAAGCTATGAAAATAGCAACTACGAATCACGAAATTCTATCTGCTACCCAATTTGTTAAACATTTTCCCTGAATACTACTGAAATGCATAACACTTCGTTAACGTCGATCCCAATTTCTAGTTGAAAGAACTATTGTACGGATGAATCAATACTTTAAAATCGAAGTATGCTAGGAAAAATCTCATACGACTAAACCACAGAGCAGAGTTAACGTTTAAAACAACGTGCTTGAACTTATAAAAAAAAAGTTTCACAACATGGTGAAAACTTATAAATTGTACAGAAACAACAAAATCCATACAACTACGAAACAAAGCGTTCGCTTCTACCTACTTTCAAACTACTTATCTGAGGTAAATAAATCAAAGCAAAGCAGATTATATAAAGTAATTTCCCAAAAGTAAAATACAAGTACTCATATTACTGCAGAAAAGTTACTGACATCCAAAACTATCCTGAGTAGCAACGAGCAAAAGATTCGCAGTAATGCCAGAGATTAGAAAAACCACACAAAAATTTCGTAATTTTCGCGCGGTTATCTCCTCAAACTAATGGGTGGTTTTCCCCATAAACTTTTGAATATCTTCCACAAAAAAAAATCATGGTTATTAAATATTCCCAAATTCACAAAATTTAACCTCTCCAGAACATTCTGATGAACGAACCTCGGTATACAAAAAGTTACGAGTGCAAATACATAGAGTGAATGTGCATGTTGAGATCAGACAGAAACTGAGTCTCGTCATCCGTGAAAGGTTTGAACATTGGTATGGGAGAACGTTTATGCTCTTCATGAATTCGCTCTAAATTTTTATAAACGTATTCTACACAATTTGCTAAATCTGAGCTTCGCAAAGACGATTGAATATCCAACCGTGACTGATGCTGTCCATTATCTGAAAGCTCTTCCAAATGGCGACATGCATAATAGCATCGTGTTACAAGATCCGTTAACTCCGCCTAAAAAAATTCATGCTTAGAAAACCTTAAGGATTTTGGTAATGCCTTACAAACTTCCTAATCAAAAGCAACTTCTACTAATTAACCCAACTTACTTGAGGAAAGATACATTCCCCAATACGTTTCATAAAGGAATCAATGCGAGCAGACAACGTTGTTTCAAATTCTACGCTTGAATCAGTATCTTCGTCACACAGTTGAATACTGTGCGAAAAACTCTGCGATATGTTCTGTGCAGAACGAATTGAATTAATTACCACGCGTTCCAGCTCTTTCTAAAAAACGTAAGCAACCATGAAATAATTTTAAAAAAACTAAAAATCTGCATAGAATGCTGTAAAATACATACCCGAAATGTTAATAATTAGGAATTGAAATTATAAAAGAAATTGTTGTCACCCAGACTTTTCACCTCGATTAAAGTTAACAATCAACCTACAGTGAATCTATCGACTTCAATGAATGGTTAGTGACAACATTGAGTTATACCTGCTCACTATAGATAGAACTAAAAGCTGCAAGTTCATGATTATTTTCATTGGAAATAGAATTTCCAGCACCATACTCCTTCGACAGTAATATTGTAGTTAAACTGCTCAACCGCGCATTCAAGTCGCTTTGCCTAAATTAATATACTGAAGGGATAACTATATCTACTGCTTGAGCTTCCCATTTACAATTGCCCATAACCCTTAAATAAAATAGTACAGTTCATAAGCATTTGCTTAATTTGTTAGATATTAACTGAATATTAATGGTAACTGGAAACTAACTGATTGCTAATGAAGCCAGTTTGCTGCAAAGAAACAGCATCAAATCTCAGCTGGTCAATTAGTCTTGGCAAGATCACTTTGTGGAACTGCTCCGTCGACGGAAGTTGATATCTAGGTTGAAGAAAGCGAAGCAAATTCCGGAAGCCAGTACGGCTAATAATTGTTGGTGATTCGTTATCCAGAAGTAGCATTATTCCAATCTACAAAACAATTCCTTTCTAATAAACCTTGTGAAGTTAATAAGGTCAGTAATGAGGATGCTAAATACTACTACTGTTGAGAAACTAAGGTGAGATGCCCCGAAGACTGTGTAATTTTTACCCGTTTCAAACTCCGTTTTCACTTCAAAACCTGAGACAAGGATTAGGATGAAGTTTTGCCCTAATACACCTCTAAAGGTCGGATATCTCATAAGCGTTAGATGAAGAATTTATGTAATTTCTGCGCTCAACGAATATATTCACCAATTTCCAGGTCTAGCTCCCTCTTTCTCTTTAAGGACTTAGTGAGTTGATTGACTTTAGGAAAGAGAGCTGTAGAGAGATAGAAAGAAAGAAAGAGTTTTCCAGGTCTAAAATATTCATCCCGGAACAACCAGAAATCAGAAACGCACTTATACATCACTTCTATAATTTACGACAGCAGCATTTTATTGTGACTTTAGCCGACAGATTAAATATATTTAAAAAGTAACGAAAAACCTGATCCGAAATTCTCCGTGCATCCGGATGATCGTCCGGCCAGAAATTCCCTTTCATTATCCTAGTCTTTTCCATTTGTTCTTTGCGATTTGTTTTGTTTCTCGGTCCCACTCGCAAATCAACGGCATTGCAACATTCATCAAATTTTGTTTTCTTTTGTGCAGAACCGTTATCGGTATACATATAGCGAATGCTGTTTTCCAAATGCCTGCGCTGAAAAACTTTTTCAGTTCAACAAAAGAAACTCGCAGCTGAAATACCAAGAATAGGAAAACATTCTGAAGTTTAAATCTCTGAAATTAAAAGTCAAAAACTGAAGTTTGGCGTAAGAAGTATGTCACACCCTTATATCGAACGTAGTGGCGATAATGTTAGCCACCGAATGGCTTGTCCTATCTTTCGATTTTTTCGCGGAATTATTCTGCCTGATATTCAGAGCTTCGTTTTCTGAAAATGACAGTAGTTTGAAACGAATTTGTGATTACTCCACAAGCTCTATTTCTAAGTTTAAATTTTATGTTAGAAAACAAACACTGGACCTTGCTTTGCAGTTGAATTGTTTTGTCGTGCTGCCTGTAACACTTGGTATTCACTGGAATGACAGCTACGCAAATGGCGGATCATACCTGTCGTACTGAAATCCCAAATTAGTTACACTATCCCACCACATGTCTTTCATAAATCAGCGGACTAACGGCAACGGTATAAAAGTGAATCAATCCGTTTTATTATTGAACAGTTCCTACCAACCCCTAAGTAAAATGTAGATGTTTTTAACAAGGAAAATGCGACAACTTATAGAAATTATGGGTGGATAAAAAAGTCAAAGCAAAACAGTACCTGCTATTCGTTGCTTTAATCCTCTTACAACATATCCTGCACTCAGCAGCTTGTTCTTCGCTCGGTAACTGGATGAAATATTTCCACACTTTAGCCGTTTTCATAGTGGAACCACCCATTTTATGCCTCTATGACAATGCCCAGTATTAACTATAGCAGTTAAAATTGTCGGTAAAGTGTAAGCAGTAAATTTTTCAAGCGCTAAAATAGTACAAAAGATAAAGATTATACAAGGATAAATTGTATGGCTTGAACGTAACAGCTAATGCATTAGTGAAATCGCTTACTTTCCAACGGCTGCCACGAAAGTAAGAAATTGTTTAAAGACGTGTTACATTGTTGTAGACACTCATTGCTCAATTCTGAGCCAAACTTTTCAATGACGTTCAATGCAATTTATTACTATTTAATGTAGTTACAATACTGAGCACAGAACTTCAACTACAGCATCTTTGCCTTTCTAAATCTCGTGAGCACAAAGAATTCTGAAACAACCTGTAGATAAGGGACTGCGCACACAACCACAAACTTCCCGAAAAGGAGAATAATGTAAAACTGTATTACAAAAATTTTTTAATAATACATAGTTAATGTTACCAATTACTCCATATTTCAGGACCTTCTGAAGTCCTCAAATCACTCTCACCGAAATTTGATCATGTAAATGATCAAGTGCATCGGAAAACACAAATTGGTTATATGTCAACCACGCCCATGTGTACAATACCACTCCAACCTACAGTTAGGAAAGCATTAGACTGCTTGTTTATAAGAACGTATTCAACAAACTGAAATATTTCATTCTCTCCATTATGCAGAGTCATATTTCCGCTTCCTACATGCATGCTAGGTTCCTGTACCGTATACTCTGGCTTTCTACTTTCCACTTCCAAAACTTTGTACTTCTGTGACTTCAGCCTACGTGATAAGTCTTCTGGGAAGCAAAACTGCAAGACATAACTTTCAGGTGACTTCCCAATACCAATACACATCTCATGATGTATTCATAGCACTTACTGATTGTAGTCGAGACCAACAATCACAAATATTCCCAGCAAATGCTACATGTGAGGACACTTACTATACACGACCTTTATTAGATAATGCATGCACTTTCAATTTCCTTTCCCCACCACACAATATTAAAACCAGCTGTCTATCACTATAATGGTGCATTGGAAAATTCTTATGAATTTTGCCTGCATGCCCAGTTCCGAAGTATGCATTACCATCAAAAAAATTCAAAACGTAGAGCAACTCTATAAACGATCTATATTAACTAACTGTCCAAATAGTTTGGGTCACAGATTAGAAGATTGCAAAAAAATTTCGCCACGTAATACAAAGCAAAAATTTCCTGCATTACTGACTAAAGGCTGCTAAGGTATTTCCGGAATTTCGAGAATCAGTGGTTGACAATGAGTGGAGAACGTACCGAAAAGCCTTAACCATGTCACGTGGTAGTCATCTTCATGAAACTGCGCCAGTAAACTTACTTTTCAGAACTATCACGCACGAAATTACTACATATAATATCATCTGGACCAAATTCTTGTATCACTAACTGACTGGACAGCACCAAACTTTGCAGACAGAATACAATTAATTTTTGTAAACCGATATATGGAAGGCAAAGAAAAGCTTGTGAAAGTAACTGTTTCAGAAGTAAATTAAGTGACGGTAGGTCAGAAAATGAAAAAAGGCCATGGGAGAGATGAAACAATAGGCCATGAAAAGTGTACACACCTATTAAGGAAAGGTTGTTATCTAATGCACCTTTTTAAATACTCTTGTACATGAAAACCAGCCATTTGCTACAAATAGAAGCTCACAAAAACGAAAAAGCACCGTAGAAATTTATAGAACGTTTGGGGTGAGCAAAATAATCAGTACATTATCATCCAACGAGGGCTTCAGGTTTTTAATGAACTTTTCTCACCAACAAATTTCGAAATTCAAATGGCGATCAAAAGAATCGCACGCAGCAAGATATAACGAACTAGTTGACCTCTCCCGCGCATAAAATTTAAGTAGAAGCATGAGCTTCTACTAAGGACAATTTGGATACTCACTCTTTTTACACTCCCTCTTGTGCTTAAATGAAGTTCCCTAACTAATGGTTCAGTTCTTTACCAGATACTTCGTAAACGTAACCAAGGATTACAAAAGTAAGCTAAGTTCCTGTTAATGAGATGAAAAATGCATCATATTGCAGGAAAAAAACTCCAAACAATCATTTAAAAACTTTTTTCCGAAACCTTCGTTTCCATAAAACGGTAAGCTAGCTTTTAAGACATGTAATCATGAAGTTATCAGAACTTCCATAACATTATACAGTAACTTTATAAGAACTATGTGAATTCGCCTTTGATATCGGTCTATACCGACTGGAAAGGATTTAATCATAAATTCAGATTTTTAAAGCAGGCAGCATAACAAATCTTAGCTACGATGTTGACAAGCCAGAACATTCCCACAAAATCAAAATTACAAAATGATTAAATTTTCAGTCCCTTTAATACCTGAACAACTTAAGAGCTGAATAAAATTTAAAGAAAATAATGATGACTAATACCACAACAACTTGGCACTTAAAATTCAAAAACAAAATCATTCAGACGTGAATTGAGACAAGCTTATTATAGAAGTATTTCCACAATTAGGATTCCATGGAGAACTAAATCATTGCAAGATGAAAGAAGGTGAACGGTTCGACGGTTACAGTTCTAAACATTTTTATAAAGCAAATGAGGGGAAATAGGAAGTGATAAGAGAAATGCAAAAGACTACTAAAATGATGATAAATAAAATCTCTCAAAACGAACACTGCGGTTTTTTTCAGTGATTTATTTATATCACCATAGATCTTACTGATATTGTCATTGCAATCACTATCAATACTGTCGATATCGTCATTACTATCACCATTTTCATGATCACAAGCTATAACATCTTTCAATGACAGCATCATGACTACTAATTCATATCTTATGAAATCAACAACATAGTTTATAAGAACAATTAAAGAAAAACACGATAAAGCTTGCTTTCCAAATCGTTCATCCTCACAAACACTAACAACTATAGCTGCTCCAAGTTGTCCTGTACTTTCTATTTTGAGCATTGGGTAAATACTGATCGAATAGTGGGTTGTAGATGAACAAAGGAACAGGGGAAAAGAGGTGACTGTCGAAGGGACAGCCGTGAGAGCGGCTGAGGGGTAACCGGCTGGATGGTTCGCTCGATTGCTTCCTAAAAAAGCCTTCTAAGAAACACAAACAGGATGGAGGACAACGAGAAGAGACAACCCACAGCGAACGAACAATAATCATCTATCCAACCTATCCTTATCTGAAATACTAAAACATGCAAAATTGCCACCGGATTTCTCGATCAAATATTTCTAAACCTGAAAGGTTCCATGTTCTGATCCATCTGGAAGAAAGCGCACATCTGATTTACTTGGATAAAAAAAACACAAGTGGTAAAATTCAAAGGAATCCATGGAAGAATAGTGTAACACCCATTAGTGTTTAAATTGGTGAAAATGCGTTACTTGGAACCGTTCTAAATAGAATTGTTTTCATTGCGGAGCAGATGAACTTACTCTTGAAAGTTATATTTGAGGAGACAATTTTTAATTGCAATACAACCTTCTGGAACAAAGTTAGGTGTAAATTTTGCATACTTCCAAGAAAACAACGTACGATGTGGTGAAAAACAGCTAGAATTACCTGAAGAGAATAACATATATGTGCTCCTCCAAGAAGCCAAAAAACTAAAACGAAAAATTGAATAGATTACTCATTTCAGTAGCGAATTCGGACTAAAAACATTCATTCAATTTTTTGCAGCAGATCCATGATTCAGCACTCTTTGAAAAACACAGAAAAATTGTTCAAAATGCAAGATCTTCATTCCTTACTAGAAGGAGGTTGTAATGAGCTGCTTATATGAGGGACAAAGCCTTAGGCGATTCTCTGCGCAACCCGAAACCGGAATTCTTCCAAACATTAACTCCCTCTTCGCACTCAGCCAGCAAATTCATAAAATATATATATATATATCTCACTTTGTGTGTATCTGTATGTCCACGACCTATCTTTTCAAAGCACACAATGATGCGTACGGACAAACACATGCTCAAAGGACTAGTTTTGAGAGCACCCGTTGCTCTCAAATACAAACTACCATCCTGTCCACCTCTCTCCTTTCTTCCAGTACCACATTCTCAACCATTTCCAATTTGGAGGAAAATTTCATTTAAGAATCCAGCACATTCTGTTCCTTAAGCTGTCATCGTTCGCAGTTTTTCAGCAATAAAACCTTGCGCAAGGTGAGACCATTCAATCTCAACATCCTTTTATCCTCTATCTTCACAGCACTTGTATGCTCAATACATGATATAAAACATTCGACCTACTTAAGCAGTCAAAGAAAATGTGTTTGTTAAAGTAGCTAGCTATATGTCCCCTGAAAATGTGTCCGATAAAAAAATCTTTGTGCCATTGCCTTCTCGGGAAAGGTTATGATGTCAAGCTTTCAACATTTTGTCCAAAATCTGTTTACTGGTAATCAGTAGTTTGATTTTTCAAAAACGTGGGACTATTCAATTCGTTTGACTGAATCTTTTCAAAGACTTTTTGTCATGATGCTTCAACAGAGCGCTTTCTCTATTGCAGTGATGTGCCACAGCTGATTTAGAATGTAACAAAAAAATTATTGCGTAAGTAACATCAAATTGCCTGTAAAAGAAACAGATGCAGATGATTGTGCTCAGTGGAATGAAAATGTGGAAATCGCATTGTTCAATGAATTCAGAAGAGATCTTCCACGGTTAGGTTAATTTCATTCAGTTAACATCAACACCAATCTAAAAAACGAAGCAGCAGTGCGAGCGCGCCAAATTACACTTTCGTAAGGTGCATCCAAAAAAGAGAAAACGGACACATCGAATCAGTTGACAATTACGAAGGAGGAAGGGTATTAGATTAGCATAGGAGTAGTAAAGAGGTGAGTAGTGCCCCAGCATCCTTCATTATCGTCATTGTACAGGAAAGAGGTCGAGGAGGCGAGGGAATGGGAGGTGATGGATTCAAACAAAGAGGTAAATAAGGAGGGAAGAAGGGAGTTTCACCAAATAGCGGCACTGTTACACGAATAGTAGGACCTCTCTCTATTTCTGTTTGCGATCTGTACAGACCGAAGTACAAAGGACCACAATGACGTCCGTTTTGTGTCGTGATGGGTCTGAATGATCGAACTTATGAGCTAAGTTCATTTAACGAACTGCATATAAGCAGGCCTGTTTTGCCACTTTACTCATTCTCGTGAAGGGCATGGGTAAAGTGTGATATAATGCACGGATGACTTATGCGAGGCGATGGTGTGGTGATCGTCGCTGCCGTAGTTGTTGGAGGGAAGATTAGGAAATACGGGCACGGAGTAACAGAACAGCCGTAAGAACCCCCTCCTCTTTCAATCTTCCTCTTATGCTGCCTGGTCCTCTCCTCCTCCGTGGAGTGCACCCATTTTCAACCAATTTTTGAAAACCAGATCTCACTTCCGCCATTTTCGCCTCACTCCCTCCTATTTCCCCCGTACTATGCCTCCCCTCTTGTTTCGCTATGCCAATCACATGTAACCGCTCTACTCGTATTCAGTCACTTATCCTTTTCCTTCACCAACTATTTACCGAGCGCTTCTATGCTTGCTTTTAGTAATTTTGTGAGTAATCAAAAAGTGTTTTGAACAAACTGACATTCATTTTCCTAAATTATGGATCAGAGTGATTTGAGCTGACCTCGAATATCCACTCCACTTGCCGTAAATTTCCATTCTCTTCGTTGTATTAAATTACCGGAACTATTTACACGAGGCGAAATGACGCTGAAAACTGATAAGCTATAGAAAAATTGACAATAAATCTGAGAAAAATTATATTTAGAGAAGCATCAATCTGCCTTTGGCTCCGGCTCCTAAAACATCACCG